ATCAATGTGGCCACCAGATGACCAAAAAGGAAGACAAAAGCCACACGATCTTCTCAACAGGTGCTAAACAGCATTAGACAAGATTTTTTTATCACTTATGATAAAAACTCTTGCAAAAAAAAGGGAATAAATGGAATTTATACAAATCTTATAAAAGCTGTAATGACATGGGCCTCCCCGGTGGCGCAGCGGTTGAGCGCTGGGTTGCGAAGCTGTCCGCGGCCTCTGCGACGCCGGTTTGATCCCCGGCTGCTCCCCGGCCACCGGAGGAGGGTCCCACATGGCACACAGACCTCTCCTGCCGCCCGCTGCTCCCCTCAGCAGTGTGCTTCGGTCCTTCTGCCTGCTCTGCTCCCTGCTCTGGCTCTGGTGAATTCTCTCACCCTCCAGTGCTTCTGACTGTACCCAGTGCTTGTATAAACCAAACAAACAAACAAACAAACAAATAAATAAAACATGTCTCTATTAAAAAAAAAAAAAAAAGCTGTAATGACAATCCCCCAGCCAACATCACACACGGTGGTGAAGAGCTGAGCGCATGCCACTCACAGCAGGACCAAGACAGGGACATCCGCTACCACCAGTGTTACTCATGGAGTCTGGAAATTCTACATAAAGCAACTAGGTAAAAAAACGACATAGAAAGAATACAAATTGGAAGAGAAAAAGTATAACTGTCACTTTCACAGATCAGATGTTGATACATGTGGAGAAACCAAAAGACTACCAAAAGATCTCTGGAAATAATAAAGCAAATACAGTAAAGCGCAGGATACAAAAATCAGTGGCGTTTCCATATGCAACGTAGCAAAAGGGAAACGAGGACAGTCTGTTCACAAGCCGGCCAGGAAGAACGACCTGGGAAAGTTACAGAAGTAGGTGAAGGGCCTGGACCCAGGAAAGGTAAGCTGATTAAAGGAAACCAGGCACAAAGAAAGACACCCTGTGTTCTTCAGACGGAACAACCTGCCGTCACTGAATGGCCTTACCTTACCGCCCAGAGCAATCTGCAGATTTAATGCAAATTAAATTACCACCGACTTTTTTAAAGGAAATAGAATGAACAATTATCAAATTCATATGGGAACACAAAATTTCCTAACAGCTAAAATATCTTAAAAAAAAGAAAAAATTGGGGCCTCCCTGGCGGCCTGCAGGTTAAGTCTGCGCTCTCTCGCCATCACTGCGGCGTGCTCCCTGCTGCTCCCCTCAGCAGTGCATCTCAGTGGATCCGCCTGTTCTGCTCCCCACTCTGTCTCTGGGGAGTCCTCTCACCCCCAGCACCTCTGGCTTACACCCCAGTTCTTCTATGCAAAAATAAATTTTAAAAATTTTTTAAAAAAAGAAAAACTGAATTATCTCATTTACCGACTTAAACAGCACGATACTGGAACAAAAACCAGAAATCAGACTAATGGGAGAGAACTGAAAGCGCAGAGATAACCAGGTAAATGGGAACAGGTGATCTTTGACAAAGGTGCGGTGGCCATGAGATGGAGAAAAGACGGCCTACAGATAAATGGGGCGGGGCAGCATGGAGAACCACTTGCAAAAATATGAAATAAGACCCATATAAATGCTCTATAAATAATTAATTCCAAATGGATTAAAGATCTGGACATAAGAATCCAAACCTGAAAGTTTTGGAAAGAACATACAGGGGCACACACAGGACAGCGGCCACAAACATGTGCTAGGACATACAAGTCCAACATCAAGGCACCAAAACCAAAACCAACAAGCGGACAACACCAAGCTTAACAGCTTCTGTGCCACAAAAGAAAGCAGCACAAAAACAGAAAGGCATCCCACAGATTAGCAAAAACATTTGCATGCCACACATCTGACGAGTGGTTAACCTCCAAAATTACCAAAGTTCTTACACAATTCAACAAAAATGAATGTCCCAATTAAAAAATGGGCACAGGAAAAAGCTTCTATAAAGGAGAAATTCAGATGGCCTACAGGCATGAGAAGTGTTAACATCACTCATTGTAAGGGAAATGCAAATTAAAACCACAGTGAGGGCCTCCCCGGTGGATTGAGCGCAGTGCTGCGAAGCTGTCTGCAGCTTCTGCAGCAAGAGTTCGATCCCTGGCTGGCCAGGGAGCTACCCACATGGTGCAGCAGACCTCTCCTGAATCGCCCACTGTTCCCCTCAGCAGTGTATTTCGGTCCTTCTACCTGTTCTGCTCCCTGCTCTGTCTCTGGTGAATCCTCTCACTCTCCTGTGCCTCTGGCCTGTACCCCAGCTCTCATATGCATAAATAAATTAATCTTAAAAAAATAAAAATAAAAAAACCACACTGAGATGCCACCTCACCCCTTGAGAATGGCCCAAATGAAAAAGAATAGAATTCACAACGCTGGAGAAGGTGCAGAGAAAAAAGAGCTCTCACCCACGGTTGGTGGGTGGCCATGATACTTGATACAGTCCCTTGAAAATGGTCTAAACATTTAAGATAAAAATGGAAATTCCATGTATTCCAGTAATACTTCTGCTAGTTATTTACGCAAATGATGTGAAAGCTCAAACACCAAAAGATTTATCTAAGCCTAAGATTCATCTACGCCAACGTACAGAGCAGCACTGTTCACTACTACCCAGTCATGGAACCAACCTATGTCCCTTCAACAGATGAATGGTAGAGAAATTCTGGAACACAAACTCAATGGAGCATTACACAGCTGTGAGGAAAGACCTCAGGGCAGCATTTAGCACAAAAGGGATGGATGGGAGGTGATTTCATTGAAGGAAACAACTCAAAAAGTAAACACAGATATCAGAATGTGTCACTAATTTGTGGGATATAAATATAAAAAAAAAATTTCTAGGTAGAGTGAGAATAAAACCTGAACAGGGAACAAAGAAGATAATGGAGACCAGAAGGAACAGGGCAAGAGTGGAGAGGGTGGGGAGAGAGGCAGACGGGAGTATGGGCCAGGGTGGTTTGGTAGAGGGCTAACCCCGTTAGCAAGGCAGGAGAAAATTATTATAATAAAAGGCTGTTAGTAGGGCCTCCCCAGTGGCGCAGCGGTTGAGCGCTGGGTTGCGAAGCTGCCCGCAGCCTCCGCGGCGCCGGTTCGATCCCCGGCTGCTCCCCGGCCACCAGAGGAGGGTCCCACATGGCGCGCAGACCTCTCCTGCCGCCCGCTGCTCCCCTCAGCAGTGTCCTTCGGTCCTTCTGCCTGCTCTGCTCCCCGCTCTGGCTCTGGTGAATTCTCTCACCCTCCCGCGCTTCTGACTGTACCCAGTGCATGTATAAACAAACAAACAAATAAAATAAATAAATAAATAAAACATGCCTCTATAAAAAAAAAAAAAAAAAAGGCTGTTAGTGCTACAGGAGTGTCAAAGACAGATTAAGCAGGCCAGAAAGAAGGAAATAAGCAAAAAATTAAGTATATGGAAAATTTCAACAATGACCCATAAAAGAGTTTCCAGAAGGTCATATACAGTGTTTTCAAATATGGCAGATATTTAATTCACAAAGGCTAGAGAAGTGTAACTGGACTGGAGAACAACTTAGGGTGCTGGGAAGCGTCACTAGAAATGCATGCAGGCCACACCAAGGAGAAATGCCCAGGAGCAGTGCAAACAACGCCCAGAAAATAGGACTCTGAACAGTCTACTGGGCACCCTGGGTTTACAGACCACCTGAGAGAAAGGCCTGGGGAGTCAGTCTCCAATAGTTGTCTTGAAGCAGGAAGTGGCCAAGTCTGCTGCTTGCTGGAGTGGAAAGTTCCTGCGTTGTACTGCTTGTCCACGAATACAGCCCAGGCTACCCTGACCCCCTTCTCAAACAATAAAGCAAGTCTACGGATGAGGTGATGGATGAGGTGACAAGATTCAGCACACAAAATGCAATGCAGTCCTGCAATTCGGAGTTCAGACTTTGGGGAGCTATCCCACTGAGCCCACCGGTGTGTGCCTGTTTACTCTGCCCATGGAGCTCCAGGAGGTTAGAAGTTCTGCAAACAGAACTTTTTCCCAGAATTGATTCCTGTTCTCCTCTCTGGCTTGTGAGTATCCCTACTAACTAGAATAACTTGTTCCAGCAGTGACTTACTAATCTGTATCAGCATAAACACAGTTCCATGCTATTTTCCTGTCCTTTTATTCATATCTTTAAAAAAGCTTGGGCCAGAAGAGTGAGAGGCAAAGCTCGATGGCTCTCCCCAGCCTCCCTCTGCTGAGGAGTCATTTAGACTCTTGAGTCTTTTTTTTTTTTAAAGATTTATTTTTATTTATTTATATAAGCACGGGGCACAGTCAGAAGCACGGGAGGGTGAGAGAATTCACCAGAGCCAAAGCGGGGAGCAGAACAGGCGGACTGACGAAGTACACTGCTGAGGGAGCAGCGGGCAGCAGGAGAGGTCTGCGCGCCATGTGGGACCCTCGTCTGGTGGCCGGGGATCGAACCGGCGCTGCAGAGGCTGTGGGCAGCTTCACAGCCCAGCGCTCAACTGCTAGCAGCGCCACCAGGGAGGCCCCAGACTCTTGAGTCTTCATTAATAGCTGAGAACTTTTCATCGCTGCCTGTTGCAGCCAGCTGGCTCCCTTAACCCCGACACCTGCACTCAGGTCCTCATCCACCTTTCCTCTCCCTCCCCCTTCACCCCACAGCTGACAGGTAACCATGAGCAGACCAGTGCAGCACGCGGGGAGTGTTTATTTCCAGACTGGTGAAAACATCATCATCTACAGGGAAACACAAACCCCAGTTCAGACTGCTCCCAACCACTCAAGCCCCACGACATGCAGCACAGTGTCCCCCAGGGGTCTGGTCTCAGCAGGGGCCACGTTTCTCACTCTGACATGGCATCAGGGCAGACTCCAATTTCCACTCATGTGGATGTGTGATTTGCCTGCATCTACATGACAACTTTGTCTTGGTGATTTATGTTTCCTTGAAAAAAACTTTACATTTCTAATTTACATTTCAGTTGATGAACTAATAGTCAATGCACCAAAAGCTAAAGAAAAACAAATCCCTCACCAGAGAGTTATCCATTGTCTGCTGCTCTCACAGATGCCGGAGGACTCTGGTGGTGCCGGGGAGAGGTGATGGAATCCCGCAGGAGAGGACTGAGGCAGCTGCACCTGGGTCCTGGGGTCTCCTTTTCACAGTGCTCCTCCGCACAGGCCTGGGAGAGCAAAGTGTCACTGCGTGAGACTCTGTGCAAAGGAGTAGAGTGGGTGCTGGGCTAGAGAGGAGGCCAGTCCCGGGTTTCGGCCCAGAACGGTGGAAAAGAGGAGCCCAAGAGTATCCGACCGAAACAGGCTTTATTGAGAGTCCATGAGGTGATGAGGCCGTTCACTGGTAGAATCAAGGTTTACAACTGACTTAAGTTAACGAAAACTCAGGTTTCATACTGACTGACCAATAGTTAATTTGAAGTCTTCAACATACAAAACTGTTGCCCACAATTTCATAGGAAAAGTCACATCTAATGTACTTTTTTGCTAGGACACTCCTAGAAATGGTTCCGAGGAGCCCTGCTTCCTTTCATTTCCTCGGAGACCTCTTTTGGCAATGACTGCGATTTGCCCTGGGATGTTCGCCCAAAGGGAATCAGTGCACAAACGCACAGGATAAAAAGCACTTTTCCAGGGGCCTGCCTTCTGGGACACTGTCCTCCCGGGGAGGCCCCGGAGTTATCTGGTCAGGGGACACGGCTGGGCGACAGCCATGATAAATTCACCAAAAAGGAAGTGAAATTCTTACCCAACCAGTCTCAATCAGGGCTCAGGACAACCACAGCCTTCTGTATGATCCTGGCCACACCAGCAAAGACCCTGGAGGGGAAACCAAAGACTGGACCTGTTTTTCTTTAAATCATTACTTTCAGGTGGATCTTTTTTTTTTTTTAAAAAGATTGATTTATTTATGCATACAGAGCTGGGGAACAGGCCAGAGATTGAGAGGGAGGCGGTGAGAGGATTCACCAGAGACAGAGCCGAAAACAGAACAGGCAGACTAACTGAAATCCACTGCTGAGAGGAGCAGTGCAGAGACAGAGGAGAGAGGTCTGCTGCGCCATGTGGGTAGCTCCCTGGCCGGTCAGGGATGTGCTGCAGAGGCTGCGGATTGCTTCGCGGGGCGGTGCTTAACCCCCAGCGCCACCAGGGAGGCCCCTGGGGTGGATCTTTACAGAGAAAGCGCTCAGGGATCCATCTAAACCCACACTCCGACTTTGTAACAAAGCACCTGGGCGCGGAATTCTTAATTGCATGACAAAGCAATCAACAGAACTTCCCAATCGCGCTGAGATCTCTTGAAAACACGAAGGGGAGTAACCTGAAGGGACTCACTGTGTCCAGCGCGAAACCCCACTGAAGAGCGCACCCACGGGCCCCTCGTCTCACCCGCACCACCAGGCGCCACGGAACCTGAAAAGAGCAGAATCAGAGATAAGCTGACAACAGTCAACCCCAGCAGACTCCCCGGCAGAAGAGACCCCCTCACGGACACCCAAAACTGCAGCAGTCGCCAGATCCTATAAAGACCCTCGCCCGCTCCCATTTGGGGCGCGACTCAGCCTGCAGGGCCTCATCACCTCATGGACTCTCAATAAAGCCCGTTTCGGTCGGATACTCTTGGGCTCCTCTTTTCCACCGTTCTGGGCCGAAACCCGGGACTGGCCTCCTCTCTAGCCCAGCACCCACGACACCCCTCACTCCCGGCCTCACCCCCGTGCAGGGGCCACGGGGCTCCCTCCCCCACCCCCGCCCTCAGGCCTCACCCGACGCCTCTCTACCGTGTCCGCAGGGCCCGGGCTCCCCCTTCGCCCCACACCCGCACGCAGGTCCTCAGATCCTCAGCTTCACCCCAAACCCAGCCTTCAGGGACAAAAGCCCCCAAACTGCCCGCGGCAGCAGCCAACATGGAGGCCCCGGGACTTCCGGGCAGAGGCGGGGCCACGGCCGCGTCTGCGCAGACGACGCCGGAAGCCACTACCCAGAGCCGCGTGTCCTCGGAAACTACATTCCCCACAATCCTGTGCGCGCCCGTCGGGGCCGTCCGCGGGCGGGTCTTTCCGGGGAGGGGGAGGGGAGGGGAGGGGAACGGGTGGGCGGGGCTCTGGGGAACGCGTCCGGGCGGTGAGGTAGTGGGCGACCTTGCTTAGCGCCCAGAGAAGCGAGTTTCTTCAGCTCCCCTCCCTTCTGCTCCGGCTGACGTCTTGGGGGGCTGGTGTCTGCGGTTACAGGTCTTGGGGTCGCGTCCAGAGACCTGATCTCGACCGGCTGGGTGGCTGAGCCTTTGGGCCCTGAAGCCCAGACTGAGGGGCGCCCTGGGCCCCGGTAGTGCAGCCTGTGTGGGGGACAGGCGAGCGTCGTGGGGTGACCTGGGGCTCCACTACATGAACAGGAGACGCCTCCTTCAACTGAGTTAGCACCTGGCCAGGGACACTCTGGGCGAGGTCCTGGGGAGAGGGAAAGGCGCTGGGACCCCCTGGACAGCTGGAGGGTGGGGGCTCCGGGCCAGACCAGCTGTGCAGCGTGGAGGCTACCGCGCGGGGAGCAAGGCCTGTGGTCGGAATCCCGGCCATCCTGCGCCACCAAAAGTACCCCATTAATAAGTACTATTAATCTCTAACTGTCCTTGATCGCCGCTCGGGACCCCTGCTTTCACCGTTCCTTGTCTCCATGCGCCTCCCTGGGAATTTGGGAGGATTACTATGATGAGAAAATATATTATTGAGCAAATGAATGTAATAAAGATTCCAGCAGAACTTCCAGCGCAGGTGCAACTGTTACAGGGCAGCCCTGATACAAAACGGGGTGCCCGACTGTGGGTCCTCACCCGCACGCTTAAAAGGACTTATCAATGCTCTACTGCAGGCGCACGCGAAAGGTTAATAAAAGGTTTATCCACAAGGGAAGGGGAAATGAGGAAATGTACAGCTCAGGGAAAAAAGAGGGAGACAAAGTCTTTAATGCATCCTACCCTTTACGCTGGCCTGGAATCCCAGTGGCACTCTGAGAGCTGGCCGTGAGCCAGGAGCCACGAGTCATGAAGCCAGGAGAAGAGGGAGAGGGAGAGAGAGATTGGACCTTCTCCTTGGTGGTGATGGGATTTGTAATGTCCTGATGGCTTTGGCCTGGAGTGGGCGTGGAGTCCACAAACCTGTATGGAATTAGCTCACGACATCCTTTCCCCCTAACAAAAGGGAAAGAAGAGCAGAAGACACTTGCATAGACATAGCAGGCAAAAAGCTGCCCCAAAAGGGGCAGGTTTGCGGAGAGAGGCCTGCAGGGTTGCAGGCGGGAGGCCTTGAGGAGACCGGCCTCCGCTGAGGGAGGTCAGTGAAGAGAAGCCCCAGCAGGTACAGGTCACGGCAGGCAAGAGGCTGCTGCCCTGCAGAGGACAGAGTTGGTGAAAAGAGGCACCTGCATAGTCTCAGGTGGGCAGATGGATGGCTGCCCCGGGCCTGTGCAGACTGCCCTGATACAGTCGGCTTCCATTTGGGAGGGTCACTCCTGGTGAGCCTTTGTTCGGTTAGTTGCTGATTTTGGACAACTCTGCAGAATCTGAAAGGGACAGAGATTCCATCTCTATATCTTTGCCCTTGGGCCTGTGCTCTAGACACACCCTACAGTCTCTGATACCTCCTTGGGTCTTGTGCTTTGTAATCTAGGTGTTGGCGCTTGGGGATCTTGGTTCCCATAGCTGTGTCAATGGCTGTGCTAATCCCTTCTACCCCCACCTCCTTGAGTGAGCCAGGTTTCTGGTCTTGTGGTGCCTCCTTTCCAGTTTTTTTTTTTATTCCTATCCTCCATCAATGGCATCTTGAACGAAGACATTTCTGCTAGTTCAGAGTTTGGCTATCCGGGCACAAGCTAAAGACCCAGTTTGGCCTTGAGTTAGTTTGCCATTTGCTTAAATATGGGCTGCATTATTTTTATAATTTCGGTAAGAGCATGCTTCTCTGGGTGTGCAGTCTATTGGTAAAAACCAATAGCAAATAAAACCTGGGGGCCACCCTGGTGGCGCAAGGGGTTGAGTCTCAGCACTATGAAGCTGTCCACAGCCACATCGGCATGAGTTCAATCCCCGGCCAGGAAACAACCCACATGGTGCACCGTGCTGCTCCCCTTCCTGCTGCTCCCCTCAGCAGTGTACTTCAGTCAGTCTCCCTGTTCTGTTCCCCACTCTATCTCTGGGGAGTCCTCTCACCCCCTGCATCTCTGGCCTGCACCCTAGCTCTTGTATGCATAAATAAATAAATCTTTTTAAAAATGTAAAAAAAAGACGGGATATCATCCTGGGTGTGTAACAGGGTGAGACCCAGGAAAGGGGAGGGACCAGTTTCCCTGCCCCACCCAAGGGAGCTGGAGCTGAGCAGGGAGGGGGAAGCAGCAGAGGAGACTGGGACAGCAAGAAGGAGACCTGGATAAGGCACTTGAAACAGAGAGACAAGTGAAGAAGCTGCACTTGCTTCTCAGCCATGGACTTGTACTAAGCACTTGACAAGGACTTGAGGGATGTGAAAAGAGGCATTTGAAACAGACGTGGGGGAGAGACCCATGGGGAGGTGAACAACAGCCGCTTTTATCTTGACTTCGATTTTGCTCTTTACCTTCCAGACTTGCCTGGCCCCTCTGCCCTTTTCCTATGGTCCCCATGAGAGGTGCTTTAGACCTGGGACAGACTTTTGGGGCTCAGTGATCCTGCCTTGGGACAACCCTGTTTGGCTGGGCATTTACCCACGAGGGGATGGGTTAACTTTGGGTACTTGATTTTAAAGCTTTTTCTTTTTCTTTTCTTAGTTGCACACTAATTGTATTAAAGTTCCTTTCTATTAAAGGTCTTACACACTAGAATGTATTTTGTCTTGATGCCGCAGATGGCAGAACCTGTTTAGAGCAGGCAAGTTTCAGGGTTCTGGGGTGCCACTCACCCTGCCCTGTAACAGAATGACTGATTGCTCTCCAAACACATGTCCTCTTTGGATCACACAATGACATCACACTCACTGGTCTCCACAGCAGCTGGTGCGCGACGGCGTCCTAGCCACCTGAATGCAGATGGAGGAGAAGTCTGCTAAGAAAAGCTCCCTGCCTCATCCTCTTTTCTCCTTCCCCATCCTTTGGCTGCATGCAGAGGACTCCATTGACACACAGAGGACAAAACCACCACCTGAAGAGCCTTTCTTCCTCAGTGATCATGTGGATGCCGCCCAGCCAGAAAGACTGAAACGAGAGAAGGACGGATTTTTTAGGACGAAGCATCTGGAACTCCAGGTTTCGTATGTTTCCTATGTTTCAGCTGGGTTCATCTTCTGTGACCATTAGAAATTGTTTCTTGAGTAATATCTATATCTCGGCCCTTTGTTCAATGATCTAGGATTTCTTATTAATCACACACTCATTATATGCCATTAATATCATCTTAAAAAAAAAGTGGTTTGCCCAACATGTAAATTCTTCCTAAGCTTATTGTTCTCCATAAAGGTAATTCTCAGTATCAACTGTTGCCTGAATCTTCCTGAAGTTCTTATGAACTCTAAAAATCTATCTGGCTCTACACAACAACTCCAGTTTCACTGTCACAATCATTTTTCTTAAATAAGGAGAAAGAGAAACGCCACGACCTATGTTCAGTTTGCCAACTGTTCAGTTTGTCTGCCACACTGTGTTCTGCTTGTTGGGGAAAGCACTCATCATATAAAGGAGAAAGGTAATTGTAGTTGGAAAAAAGCACCTAAATCTGTTCCTTCACTGCGTCATCAAAGTCTTTCCTATTACGTCCTTCTCTGAAATACAATCTTGGGTTTTTTCTTAAATAAGAAAGAAATTGAATCATGTACAGAGAAAGTCCCAGTGCCAGATGCATAAGGGCTGTTCTTATCAGTCCCAGGGAAACATAGAGGACCCGGACTGTATTGGAGGAAGGACCTAAGTCAGATGAGAAAAAGCACAGAGCAAGACTCCCACCTACCGCCTGACATAGGGGGGACGGGCCGCTGGGACATCGAAGACTGAGATGCACTTTCCACTGGGGCGAACAGAGGTGTTCCATCCAGAGGTGGGGGCTAGCGGGGTCTTGAACACTGAATGGGTTTCCAGAGGGGAACAGATGAGGGGAGGCATCCAGCCTGGCAGGGGGAAAGAAGGAAGCTGGGGCTGTGGCCAGAGACCATGAGCAGCCATTTATGGAAAGGGGGCCTGTGTGGGACAGGAGAGGAAGCCGGGGCGCAAAGATGGTCGGGGTCAAGTAGGGAGAACATTAAACCACAGAACAATGAATTTGGGCCTTCTGGAGTCGACCGTGGGGAGGTACTGAAGGTTTCCGGGCAAGTGAACACATGACGAGATGGTACCTGACAGGAGAACCGGCAAAGATAATCGTGGTACTTTTTAACCTGTTTTCCATTATTGCCCTTGACATTTTTTCCCCTAATCACCACGCCCCGTGAGATTCTAACAGCACAGCTACATCATTTATCTGCTCGTGTACTGTATGGGTGCACCGCTGTGCTTTAACACAAAAAGAATAACCCATTTTCAAGGGAGTAGGATCAAAACGGATCAAGAGCACAAGGGACTATGGGGATGGTCATGGGTGGTGGGAATTTCACGGGGACTATAACAGATGAGAAAGCACACATTGCACAAAAATGAAGAATGATGCAAAAAATACATAAACTTAAAAAAAATGTTTTTTTAAAAAGAAGGGCCTCCCTGGTAGTGCAGGGGTTAAAAACAGCGTGATCAAGCTTTCGCCAGCCACGGCAGCACAAGTTCAATCCCCGGCCAGACAGGGAGCAACCCTGGGCACAGCAGACCTCTCCTGTCTCCCCACTGCTCCCCTCAGCAGTGGATTTAGGTGGATCACCTGTTCTGCTCCCCACTCTGTCTCTGGTGAATCCTCTCACCACAGCCCCCCCCCCCGACCTCTGGCCTGCACCCCTGCTCTTGTATGCAAAAATATTTTAAAAGCAACTCTAACTACGGTCTAATCACAACTATCCAGCGCACGCCAAGGCAGGACATCCCATTACGCGCCTCACTAGACCTCTGCCCGCTGTCAGGGGTGATGGGCTTAAGCCAGAGAAACTGTGAAAGTCAAGAAGAGCCTGAGACAGGCCACCGTGCCCCACGGCTGGCGGGTCCCAACCAGGAGGGACAGAGCTCAGAAGACGTGGGTCCCTGTGGACACAACCCTTGAGCCATGGATCTGAGGCGTCCAGCTGGGGCGCAGGGGTGAAATAAGGAGGGGACGAGCACCTTGGGCTCAGGCTGAGGCTAGCAGAGGGGGCTGCTGGGGGAGGAAAAGTGAGGGGGTCCAATGGAGGATGGTGGGGCTTTGGCGGTTGGTGTAGTGAAGCAACATGCATTTGTGAGGTTCAGACCCCTAGGACATACACTGTGACGTAAATTAACATCACCTCGGTAACAGAACTTGACCCCCAAAAAAGAGAAAAAAATAATGAAGGAATATTTGTTCATTAACTGTGACACACACTGAATGAGAATATATTCATCATTTTTTAAAATGGGAGAAATAACACTTGCACAAGGAAAATGGAAGAGTTTGGACGAGGCGGGACCAGGGGCTCAACTGTGCTGTGTGGCCTGGTGCTCTCCACCCCTCCCCGCTGCCCAGGCAGTCTCACTAACCCTGGCATCTGACCCTTACCTGGTGACCACTAATCCCAAACCATAAAAACCCCAACCCCTAGACACTCTGAACCCTGATGACCCAGACCACTAGCACCTCCTCTCTAACCACACCCTGACCGCCAGCCCTGGTCCGCCATAACTCTGACCATGACCCTCTAACACGGAACCTGAACTCTGACACTGACCTTCTAAGCCTTATCTTGGCCCTATCCCTAAATCCTAATCGTGACCATGACCCCTAAATTAGCCCAGACTCCAACCCCAACCACAGCTCCTAACACTAACCTTTAACCCTAAACCCTACCCTTAACCCTAACCCAAACCCAAGTCCCCTAACACTACCCCCAACCCCAAACATGAACTCTGACCTGTGACACTTACCTGGGCATGTAACCATAACCTCTGACCTGAGGCCTGACACTGACCCGGTGCCTGACTGAAGTCTGTGCTTCCCGGGTGATAAATCTCATACTCATGAGACAAGTAGTTTCTTCCTCCCCCGCCCCAGGAAAGCCCAGGGAAGGACTCTCAGCTGTAGTCCCTGGAGGGAGACTCCTCTGCCAGTGCTTTGATTTCACCCAGTGACACTGATCTTGGATGTCTGCTCTCCAGTGTCACAGAATAAACCTCTCTGTTTAAGCCATGACAATTTTGGTGATTTTTCAAAGCAGCAATGGGAAAACCAGACTCCCTTACAGCTTCGGTCTAGCATCTGACTCCAGTCCCAACAAGCAGATGTACCAGCATTAAGTGGAGCAACCAGCACTGTGATAATAATCAGAACAGCATGACACTAGAACAAAAACAGCAAGACCAGTGGAACAAAAGTGCAATAAACTCACACTTAGATGGACACTTAGTCTGTGACAAAGGGAGCAATATTATACACTGGAGAACTTCTCTTCAACAAATGGTGCTGCGAAAGCTGGACAGCCACATGCAAAAGAATTAAAAGAGACCAGTTTTATACTATACATAAAAAAAAACTCAAAAAGTTAATAAAAGATTGGATTAAGATATGAAACCATAAGATAAACAGAACAGAGGCCAAGCGCTCCATGACATAGGCTCAGCAAGGTCTTTGTGAGTACATGCATGGGAAAGAATCTGTGTATAAGTGGACCTGTGTGACTCACTTTCAATGGTCCGATGTGTTTAGTTAGAAAATCTGACATCTTGGGTGGGGGCGGGAGGGGAGGGATTGGGGTCAGAATGGGGGGTTGCAATTGTATGGGGAATATAAAAATAAAATTTATTATAAAAAAAAATTAAAAAAAAATTAAGGTCATAGTTGGCATGAACCTGAAAAAAAAAAATTAACAAAAAGTATTTCACAATTGTTAAGTAAAACTGCAATGAAAACACCTAAAAAAAAAAAAAAAAAAAAAGAAAATCTGACATCTTGCTGAAGAGGGAGGCTGGTGGAACACAGTAGCTTGGAATCATTTGCAGAAGCACCTCAGCCCCCTCAAGGAACTGATGCTGCGCCACACGAGACTTCAGAGCTCTTCAGATCAGCAGTGGCGAAGTGCCTCGGGATCTCCTTCTCTTCCCCGGACTGTCTTGGAATCCTGAGCCTGGGCCGTGGTTAACCTCAAAATTCAGCGCACTGAAATGTAAATCAAGCTTATTTGGGATCAGAGACTGAATGCAGAGTACAGAGATTCAGGGAGAAACCTAAACTGTGCTTCGAGGAAGAATCAATTTGAGAGTTTTTAATGGGAAGAAAATATGGAGATGGTATGTGATTGAGGAGGTGATTATTCAACAAGCTTTAACTTCTTTTGGATACAGATAATTGGTTACTGGTTTCCCAGAAGTGCTGAAAGGGAAACTGAGTTTCTGGCATTAGGCTAAAAGTTCATAATTTTCAGTTTTAATGATTCTGGAGTCTTCGCAAATCATTGTTTGCTTGATGGGTTCTTATTACAGTTGCATTTGATCCAGTACAAAGGTCTTTGGTTCAGCTCAGTGGTGTTCAGCCCAGTTCAAATGAGACAGAAAATACAATTTTTCTATATAGCTCCACAATCCAATTTAAAGAACATTTCACAACTGTTGACTTTTCACACCAAAATCACACATTAAGTGTGTACAAATGAAGAAACTGGTCACTCAGGTAAAATATATTCAGATTAAGAGTGACCACACACAAGGAACTATGCTCAAAGCACTGGTAAGTATCTGAGGCGAGTACGTATGACAAGGTCCTAAATTTTGAGACCACGGCTTTGAGAATATTTGGGAGACCTGACACAGGTGCACATGGAAGGTACATGGAGTTTATGGTCAAAAAGTGGACAGTGTCATTCTGTATTTCCAGTCACAGCCACACTAATATGACCCATCCTGTACTCCTGTGATGTGCCTGTCACTAGGCAGAGTCTATCTCCCCACCCCTTGTAATCTTCATACAGGCTCTACAACTGCAGTGAACAAAAAAGAAGAAACAGTACAAAGAACAAAAATTACACTGTGCTAGAACTAGGAGTATGGATGCAAAATGCTGGCTTGCAGGTTAAATCAAACCCTACAGAGAACCACTGATCTGTGCTATTTTTTAAAACTTTTGAACACAATATTTAACATTTCTGCCTGAAATTTTTCATCCAAATTACCTTAACTTCATTAGAAATTCTGATACAGGGGGGCCTCTCTGGTGGCACAAGGGGTTAAGTCTCAGCACTATGAAACTATTGCAGCCACTGAAGCACAAGTTTGATTCCCGGCCAGGGAGCTACCCACAGGGCGCAGCAGACCTCTCCTGTCCCCCGGCTGCTCCCCTCAGCAGTGGATATCAGTCAGTCTTCCTGTTCTGTTCTCTAATCTCTGGTTAATCCTCTCACCCCCACACCTCTGGCCCACACCCGTTTTGTATACATATATAAATCTTTAAAAAAACATAAATTTTGGTACACATAAACTTGGAAATTTTGTTGAAAATACACTAAAAATACTTATAAACTTAATTTAGTCTTACTGCTCCATGACTTGTCTCTGCATGATGAAGGCATTCACTACTTGTTGCATTTTTCTTTCTTCCTATCATTTGATTTTCTCATCCATTGACTTTTTTTTTTTTAAAGATAGATTTATTTATTTATTTATTTATTTATTTATTTATTTATTTATTTATTTATTCATACAAGCACTGGGTACAGTCAGAAGTGCGGGAGGGTGAGAGAATTCACCAGAGCCAGAGTGGGGAGCAGAACAGGCAGAAGGACCGAAGTACACTGCTGAGGGGAGCAGCGGGTGGCAGGAAAGGTCTGCGTGCCATGTGGGACCCTCCTCCGGTGGCTGGGGAGCAGCCAGGGATCGAACCAGCACCACAGAGGCTGCAGGCAGCTTTGCAACCCAATGCTCAACTGCTGCGCCACCAGGGAGGCCCTCATCCATTGACTTTAAAGATGACAACACAGTTTCTTCCTGTGTAAATTTCCTGCACAAAGACTGGTAACGTTTTCCAGAGAGCTGGACTAAATTGAAAAGAAAAACTGGCTACAATGGGCTGGTAGTATTGCAGATAGATCTCATACCAAAGGGCTCAACAAAGTATTTCTCAGACAAAGTTCAAATGGAGACTGTTGAGGTAGTTTGGAAAACTGCTCACCACAACCCCTTGCCTTAAATCATGGTGCCATCTTTGCCCTCTGCTTCCCAAGGCAAAGTGGCAGGTCACTTATCCTTCTGGAACACAAGGCCTGAAAAACCTAGTAAACTACTTTTTGGCCCAGCATGGAAGTAATATTCATTGCTGGTGTTCACAGTCTGCTGTCCAGATTTCAGTTACAGGGTCTCAACCATAGCAAAGGGAGGTTGTTTTTGCAACAGAAAAATACTGTATTGCTAAACACAAGGTCGGTCTCTGCCAAATAGAAGGACATATGTGTGAGCTCTCTGGTGTCAAGGCTACTTTCCAGCAGCAAGTTTTCCTACACACTTGACATTCACAGGGACTCTCTCATGTGAGTTCTCTGATGAACACTGAGGTCTGACTTCTGGCAGAAAGTTTTCCTACACTCTTTACATTCATAAGGTTTCTCTCCTGTATGAGTTCTCTGATGTCTAGTAAGAGCTGACTTCCAGTGGAAAGTCTTCCTACAGTCCTGACATTCATAAGGTTTCTCTCCCGTGTGAATCCTTTGATGTACACTAAGGGCTGACTTCCAGTAGAAAGCCTTCCAACATACTTTACACTCAAAGGGTTTCTCTCCTGTGTGAGTTTTCTGATGTTTAGTGAGGTCTGATTTACAGTAGAAATTTTTCCTACATACTTTACACTCATAGGGTTTCTCTCCTGTGTGAGTTCTCTGGTGTACAGTGAGGGTCGGCTTCTGAGAGAAAGTTTTCCTACATTCTTGACACTCATAGGGTTTCTCTCCTGTGTGAGTTCTCTGATGTATGGTGAGACTTGACTTCCAATAGAATGTTTTTCTACACTCTTGACATTGATAGGGTTTTTCCCCCGTGTGAGTTCTCTGATGCACTGTGAGTGCTGGCTTCTGAGAGAAAGTTTTCCTACATTCCTGACATTGATAGGGTGTCTCTCCTGTGTGAGTTCTCTGATGCATGGTGAGGGCTGACTTCCAGTAGAAAGTTTTCCTACATTCTTCACATTTATAGCGTTTCTCTCCCGTGTGAGTTTCCTGATGTCCATTAAGAGCTGATTTCTGGAAGAAAGCCTTCCAACATTCTTTACATTCATACGGTTTCTGTCCTGTGAGAATTCTCTGAGTGTTGACTTCTCACAAGATTTCAAACATTCATGAGATTTCTCAGCTGTTTGTATATTCTTATTGTTACTGAGAACAGAACTTCTACAGGCAGTTTTACCACATGTGTTATAGTCAATTTTTTTCCCTCCTAATTGAGACCTCTGAAGCTGAGTAAGGTATAATTTCTTGCTGCTGTAACTCCTATTTTGATTATATTGGTGTTTATCTTCAAAATCTCTCCAAAGAATTAACTCTATTGGTTTCTCCAGAAAGATCTCCCTCCATGCATTACACTTGTAGTGCATCTTCCTCATGTGACTTCTCTCTTGGCCAACAAGAGCTAACTTACCACAGTCTGTCCCATTATATTTACAGGCAGTTTCTCCCATTAGAGCCCTCCTATGTGTAAAGAATATTGATTCTTTGTTCAAGGCTCTCCCTTGTTCACTAAATTCAAAAGGCTGTTCCAAAGTTTGAATCATCTGATGGACAACAGGATGCTCAGGATAGTTGAGAGACTTCCTGGTTGTTTTAGGGCCCTCAGATTTCTCTCCAGCATGAATCTCATCAGATTCCTCCGTGGGAAACATGTTCTCACACACATGAAACTCCTCAGGCATCATTTCTGAACATGTTTCATTATTTATAATTAGGTTTGAAATATGGATTGAGCCCAAGTAAAACATTTTCTGCAAATAAGTTCTCTCCTTAGTTGATGTTTTGCTGTTGGTAATTAGAACTTGCCACAAATGTATGCCTTGATTTTCCTGATTGGCTTGGATCAGGTGACTCATGGCCTGGACATCTAAAACGAGAAAACCACACCTTATGATCAACATCTAATAGTTCTAGGAATGCTAAGGTAAAGATAAAGAAGTTTCTAACATCATAGCACAAGTTTTTTTTAAAAAAAAAAAAATCAGTGATGAATTTTGATTTTATGATACACAGGATTTTCACCCTAATAAATGCAGTAAATCGCATTAATAATTTTCTAATGTCAAATCACATTGACAAACCCAAAAATCCTCTGTAAGTTTGTCTTTTTTAACTACCTAACGTAATACATAGTCATTATATTTCCCTACTCTGCAATGACAGATTTCAGCTCAGAGTTTTCACCTACCATTTGTTTACATTCTGTTCTTTTTCTCAAATTTTTCTTAAAATATTTGTGGCCATTATGTGCTAGCCTTTTGGTGATCACCCTAGTTAAGATTTTCCTGGACCCCAACTCTTGTATAAATAAATAAAAAATCTTTAAAAAAGATTTTCTTGGATCAGCCATGTATTAGATTAAGAGGCAGGCCATGTGTTTGTCACAGAGGTAGGAAAAATGCAAAGGGACAAGGATTTTGCTCCTGCATTTGTTTAGTATATACCTTTCCTGGGGAATGACGACAGGTATCGGGGATTTTTCTCCGAAGGCATCATGTTTTTTCCATGGCAAGGTGAGCATTCTATGAATTCCTAATTAAACACTGTATCATTAGCTCCTCAGAACTGAACAGAAACTCTGGCTCATCACTTGGTGCAGAGCTCCCCCACTGAGCTAAATCACTCACTTTCTGCAACCTGGGGCTGTGCCCATCATATTTAAAAAGATTATTTTCCCCGAACCCTTCGGAAATCCAGACTCCTGGCATTCTCACCCATTTCTCAGGACAAATGTCCCACTTGATAATTCACTGCACCTGAAGATTTTTATCTTGTATTTCATAGTCCCAGCTATCTCCTAGTTACAATAAAACTGAAGTCCCACGTTTCTCGTTCTTTTTATTTCCCCCGTGATTTTTCACAAAAGGAGACAAAATTATAAACTTCAAACTCCACTCCTAAAGCCTAATCTTGGAGCCTTTAGGAACTACAACCTGTGGTTCCTCCACCCATGTGGCAGACACCACTTTCCATGCTGAAAAGCTTGCTGGTTCCTCCTCAGCAGCACAATTTGTGATGTGTGGGTCACGAGACTTGTCTCTGAGCCTCAACTCATGCTTTTAATAACTCCCTAGGCAACATTCTTGAATCTGACAGTTATACATTAACGATTTCCTAATGTACATCTCGATAGTGACATCCAACCTCCACCCCACACTATATCTGCATCTATATATATCAACAAGGAAAACATTAGCCAAAATTAACATTACCAAAACATCAAACGGAAGTAACCTCTACAGTATAAACAATGTATTTCCCAGAAGTTCCTTCTAAATACCCTTCCCCAAAAAATACCTTCATTTTCTTTCTTATCCGGTGAAAAGTTATTTGCAGTTATTATTTCACTAGTTAACATGCATATTCGCTTTATTTTTCTCTTTCACTAGAATGTAAGCTGTATGAATGGACTTTTAGTGGATGACTGTTATCACCACAACTAGAAAATTTGTCAGTCTAGAACGTCCCATTTAACATGTTGAGAGAATAAGCAAATGTATGAATAAATTTCTGAAATAAAATAGTACATGAGAATGAAGGAAAACTGAGAATGCTGAGAAAGTGACTAATAAGAAAAAGTTCCAAGAGGAGGGAATTAGGGACTGAATATTGGGTTAGGCTAAAAAAACTTACACCCATTTAAAAAAAGGGGTAAGGGGACCTCCCCATGGCACAGGGAGTTGAACGCCATGCTGTGAAGCTGTCTGCAGCCACTGTAGCACGGGTTTGATCCCGGCCAGCTGGCGAGGGTCCCAGATGGCGCGCAGACCTCTCCTGCCACACCCGGTGCTCCCCTCAGCAATGTGTTTCATCAGTCTGCCTGTTCTGTTCCCCGCTATGGATCTGGTGAATCCTCTTACCCTCCCGCGCCTCTAGCCTGTACCCTGGTTCTTGTATAAATAAATAAATCTTTAAAAAAATAAATAAATAAAATAAAAATAAAAAAGGGGTAAGACCTGTGAGAGCCATATTTGGAGGCTAGATAATGATGGGTGCAGACTAACTATCCTAAGGTCTGAATAAGGGGAAAAAGTAGCTCAGGATGGCCAAATGTGCTGGGCCATCCTCCTCCCAGCCACCTGTCCAGTATGCAAAGACTGACCTGAGAGGCCCTGGTTTGGGGGTTCTTGTATAGTCCATGGCTCTGCTCCTTGCTCCATCCTGACAATCACCTCAGGTTTTGTGATACAGTGCCCTGTGGATGAGAAAAAACAGAACTTTTGCCAACACGCTTAAATTTCTATCTTTGAAGACTGACAGCAGTTTTCAGAGCTATGCAATGAGGGCAATTTGAACCTCTGATTAGAGGGATAAACACTCATTTTTCTTTGTCTGGAATCTTGAATCTAAATAGCGTTGAATTGGGGCCTCCCTGGTGGCGTAAGGGGTTAAGACAAAACCTATGAAGCTCGCCGCAGCCACTACAGCACAAGTTCAATCCCCGGCCAAGGAGGTGACCCACATGGTGCAGCAGACCTTTCCTGACTCGCCTGCTACTCCCCTCAGCAGTGTATTTCAATCGATCTGCCTGTTCTGTTCCCCACTCTGTCTCTGGTGAATCCTCTCACCCCCCAAAACTCTGGCCTGTAGCCCAGTTCTTGTATGTATAAATAAATAAATCCTTAAAACAAATTTAAAAAAAAAGTGTTGAATTTAATAAACAGTGCCACGTGTACCCATAAAGAAAGCAGTGCCTGCTCTTGGCAGTTAGTGGAGAGTCTCACTCACCCAAGGACACCAGGCTGCTGTAGGTCTCCAGCATCACATCCCGGTATAGGGTCTTCTGAGCATCGTCCAGGTCCTGCCACTCCTCCCAGGTGAAGCTCACAGCCACATCCTCGAATGACACCATCCCCTGTAAAGGCACGTTTCTCCTCAATCAAGACATCAACCTGGATGAGAACAGCAGTTGGCCTGGGAGCTGATTATTTTCACTGCCTTTTATCTTTACGCACCATCGTTTGCACTCTATATTTTAAGAGGAAGAGATTTCACAGGAGAAATAGCTAACCCCCGTATTAAATTCAATTCTAAAAGTTTCATAATATAGTTTATCTTATCAATCTAGAAATGCCCTTGTTGCTGAAAGGATGAATAAAATTTTGCTCCTTAAAGATTTGGGAACATAGGGCCTCCCCAGTGGCGCAGCGGTTAAGTGCTGGGTTGCGAAGCTGCCCACAGCCTCTGCAGCACCGGTTCGATCCCCGGCTGCTCCCCGGACACCAGAGGAGGGTCCCTCATGGCGTGCAGAACTCTCCTGCCGCCCGCTGCTCCCCTCAGCAGTGTACTTCAGTCCTTCTGCCTGCTCTGCTCCCCACTCTGGCTCTGGTGAATTCTCTCACCCTCCCGCACTTCTGACTGTACCCAGTGCTTGCATAAACAAACAAATAAATTAATAAATAAGAAATGCATAAACAAATAAATAAATAAATAAATAAGAAATCTTAAAAAAAAAGATTTGGGAACATAAATATAGACCCATATCTGGAATAATATACTATAAGAGCGATATCAAAATATATAGTCAGGGCCTCCCCGGTGGCGCAGTGGTTGAGTGCTGGGTTGCGAGGCTGCCTGCAGCCTCTGCAGCACCAGTTCAATCCCTGGCTGCTCCCTGGCCAGCGGAGGAGGGTCCCACATGGCACGCAGACCTCTCCTGCCGCCCGCTGCTCCCCTCAGCAGTGTGCTTCGGTCCTTCTGCCTGCTCTGCTCCCCACTCTGGCTCTGGTGAATTCTCTCACCCTCCCGCTCTTCTGACTGTACCCAGTGCTTGCATAAATAAATTAAATAAATAAATAAGCAAGCAAGCAAATAAATAAATCTTAAACTATGAAGTCTGATAAAACATATAAAAAAATATATATATACATATAGTCAATGTAGACTGGGGTAAACAAGGAGAAAAAACCCAGCACTTTGCACTTCACTGAAGACCCAAGGAGGGTTAGCTCTTCCATATGGGCCGCACGCTGTCCTGAGTACGACCCAACAGCACGAGCTAATGTGTACAATAAAGACAGCAGCCAAGTTAATGAAATTGTAAACAACCGCTGCTAGGCGGTGAGGACAGGAAGACAGTAAAGTTATTCAAGGGAGTTATTATGCATTTATGTATATGACCTAATTCCAGCAATAATCTTATGTGATCACCAAGTTTTTTAATAACATAAATTAAAAGAATATAGACATGCACCCTAATATTTTCTTCCTTGTACCTACAAGGTTGCTTCCTTCCAATGAAGAGTAAACACAACTCATTTCCTGAACCACACAGAATAAATGAGGGGCCAACTGAAACAGCTAAGTCACAGAACTGGGTTTGCATTTTAACTCCATCCCCCAGCAGATGGATGGGGGAAAGTCAGAGAGGAAATCAGATGCCCACCTGCACTGAGGTAATGGAGCAATAAGAATTCAGAACAGGATACCAATCCTAAAATAGAGGGGTTGGGAGGGAAGAACAGAACTTGGCACTAACCTTAGTTCAGGAGGGAGATTTACTACTGGGCTATCTACATGACCAGAGTTTGACACTGGTGCAGTAATTTTATACTATTCTTCAGAAAAGATCAAAGAAAATGACAGACAGATCTTGGACACATCGTGTTTGACGTTTCTATGGTCAATGCAGGAAGATGTTCCATGGGTGACTGCGTATTTGATGCACAAATCAGGAGAAAAATCTAAGTTGAAGATAAAGATTTGGAAAGCAGCAAAATTTCACTGGTAGCTGAAGCCATCAAGAATAACACAGAGATTAAAAGAAGAGGAATAAATACAGAATTGGGAGAAACATAACATTTACTGACAAAGAAAAATAAGACCTTAACAAGAAAAATGATAAATCATGCTACAAATAAGGAAGCTCAATACTAAGAAATGTGTGGCTGTATTTCTCTTTTTTTTTTTTTTTTTTAAAGATTTATTTATTTTTGCATTAAAGAGCTGGGGTACAGGCCAGAGGTGTGGTGGGTGAGAGGACTCACCAGAGAGAGAGCGGGGAGCAGAAAAGGCGGATCTACCAAAATACACTGCTGAGGGTAGCAGCAGGGAGACAGGAGGTATCTGCTGTGCCATGTGGGTAGCTCCCTGGCCGGGGATGGAACTCGTGCTGGAGTGGCTGCCAACAGCCTCATAGGTTGCGTCTTAACCCCTTGTGCCACCACGGAGGCCTTGTGTGGATATATTTCATCATATTGATATTCTGTGGAGGAAATGACCAGCTACAAAGATACTGAATAGGCATGTATAAAAATACTTTCCCATTTGTACTATTAACAGCTCAAAAATGAGGATTCTGGGACTTCTTCTTGAACACAACTCAATGCGGTCGGCTCAGCCAGGACTGAAAGCCAGCACCACACTTATGGGGAGACCCTGCTCAGCAAGCCCACTGCATCACCAAAGTTACTAACATCGTGTCAGTAGTTCGGTGAGCTTAATTAAAAAGCAAAAAAGAGAAATAAAGACAATCAAAATCTGCTATGCCTCATATTGGGAAACAAAGAGAATCACGTGAAAACTACTCCAAACAGAAACACTTAAAAAATTAGCACGTTATAAAAACATTTACACGTTTTCCCATATATGCAAACACACAATAACCACAAAGCAGAAAGGACAACTAGAAATAGTTAATGAAATAACACAAAACTCTGAATGGGGGTAAGGAAAAAACCCTGAAGGATGCAAAACAGAAGTAATCAGATGTAAAGATACAGTATATGCTCAGGGACAGAAACAGCCCATGTCACATTGATTCTTCAAGGGAAACCAGCACCATGATTCTAAGGAAAAAAATAGGTATCTAGATAGACGCAGATGCCTTTTGAAGTTCACGTGGAAAACAAAACAAGTGCAGCTAGAGAAAGGATGGTAGGCTGTCCACCAAAATTCAGCAGCCCACCTGCGCTACTCAGCCCGGCTGCCATCAGAAAAACAGACATGGCCAAACAGCAACTTTCTTTTTCTTACAATTCTGGAGGCTGGCTGCCAGGTCAGCTCTTGGTATGGGCACCACCTTGGCCTGCAGGTGACTGCCTCTTGCCGAGTCCACATACAGGGGGAAGGAAGAGAGACCGCTTGTCTCCTTATATGGACAAGAATTCTGTTGGACAAGGCACCCAACCCTTTTTAAACAGGATTACATGGCCTCCCTGGTGGCCTACGGGTTAAAGCTCAGAGCTATCACCATGATGGCCTACGTTCGATCCCCAGCCAGGGAGCTGACCCACATGGCGCAGCAGACCTCTTCTGCCTCCTCACTGCTCCCCTTAGCAGTGTATTTCAGCAGATCTGTCTGTTCTTTTTTTTTTTTTTTTTTAAAGATTTATTTATTTATTTATACAAGAACCGGGGTACAGGCCAGATGTGTGGGGGGTGAGAGGACTCACCAGAAACAGAGCAGGGATCAGAACAGACAGACTGACCGAAATACACTGCTGAGGGGAGCAGCGACAGGAGAGGTCTGCCGCTCCACGTGGGAACCTCACCGGGGAATTGAACCGGCGCTGCAGAGGCAGTGGACAGCTTCACAGCGCAGCGCTCAACTGCCTGTGTCACCAGGGGAGGTCCAGATCTGCCTTTTCTGCTCCCCACTCTGTCTCTAGTGAATCTTCTCACCCCCCACACGTCTGGCCTGCACCCCAACTTTTCTATGCAAAAATAAATAACTAAAATCTTTAAAAAATAAACCTGATTACCTACTAAAAGCTCTACCTACAAACACAGGGGTTATCAGTTTTATATATATATGACTCCACTTATGTGAAATTCTTACAGACATCAAATTCACAGAGGCAGAAAGTAAAATGGTGATTGCCAGTGGCTGTGTGATGGGAAAGAGGGAGTTATTATTCACTGAGTATAGAGTTCCATTTGGGCAAGATGAAAACATCTGAGTTGGACAGTTGTGATGGTTACACAGCACTGTGATTATACCAAATACAGATGAACTATATATATGAAAATGGTTAAAAGTAGCAAATTTTAGATTATGTATACTTTATCACAATAAAAACAGTGATCAACTACTAACTGGAGGTCCAATCCATAATCATACTTATGACCAACAGGCATATTCATTTTATCCTAATTTTTAAGTTATTAAATAGCAAAAGGATTAGATAGTCTTCAAAGAACTTGAAACCGTTGCAGGGCATTGTTGAGCTAGAAATATACAACCGTTTATAAACAAAAACTGAAGGTAGAATCACTGACATAAATTTAGAAAAACAAAAATTAAAAATGATGAACATTCGGGCCTCCCCGGTGGCGCAGCAGTTGAGTGCTGGGTTGCGAAGCTGCCTGGAGCCTCTGCAGCGCTGGTTCGATCCCGGCTGCTCCCCGGCCACTGGAGGAGGGTCCCGCATGGTGCGCAGACCTCTCCTGCCGCCCACTGCTCCCCTCAGCAGTGTACTTCAGTCCTTCTGCCTGCTCTGCTCCCCGCTCTGGCTCTGGTGAATTCTCTCACCCTCCCACGCTTCTGACTGTACCCAGTGCTTGTATAAATATAAATAAATAAAAAATATTAAAAAAAAATCTTAAAAATGATGAACATCTGTGCTACATGGTTTTACTCAGTGAGTGTCTTTGTCATGACCCTTGTTCAAACATGTCCTACTGACTCCTAAGTGCTTTCTCCCACTGGACTCTGCAGCTGTCACCACACACTGGCCAGCAAGAGACGGAAGAGGAGCAACCTCTTCATTGAGCAAACACATCCTTCAAGTTTGGCTAAGATTTCTAATGTAGGGCCTCCCCGGTGGCACAGCAGTTGAGCACTGGGCTGCGAAGCTGCCCGCAGCCTCTGCAGCGCTGGTTCAATCCCCAGCTGCCGGGCAAGGGTCCCACATAGCACGCAGACCTTTCCTACTGCCCGCTGCTCCCCTCAGGAGTGTACTTCGCTGGTCTGCCTGTTCTGTTCCCCGCTCTGGCTCTGGTGAATTCTCTCACCCTCCCACGCTTCTGACTGTACCCAATGCTTGTATAAATAAATAAATCTTTTAAAAAAAAAATTCTAATGTAAAAGAAAGTGAATGTATTTTGTTGTTGTTGCTAACACACATGGAAACATTAGGAAATATAGAAAACACAAAAGTTGCAGGATAGTCATTAGATGAGGTTAATCCCGATAGGGCAGGGTCCAAGGGAAACCTCACCCTGCGGTCTGTCGCTGGCTGGTAAGAAAGCAACTCCAAATGCAAGGGCAGAAAAATGTTTTGAATTTGTTGAGCTTGAGGTGATTCTGGACAGCTACAAAGACGAATCCAACCAGGACTGAACCTTTGGTATAAAGGCCTGGGCGAAAGTCCATGCTAGCGGGAGACCACACCGGCTGACTCACACAGAACTGCAGAGCAAAAAATGGGGCTAAATTTGAACACTTGAATGAGTGACATGCAGGAGCAGCAGAAACACAAGAATTCAGGGAAACAGAAGAAATAACCAGAGAGGCCGTGACAGATGCGAAGTGACAAAAATTTTAAGATCATGGAAGGTTGTTTTAAATCTGGCAGAAGGGCCTCCCCGGTGGCGCAGCGGTTGAGCGCTGGGTTGCGAAGCTGCCCGCAGCCTCTGCAGCGCTGGTTCGATCCCCGGCTGCTCCCCGGCCACTGGAGGAGGGTCCCACATGGCGCGCAGACCTCTCCTGCCGCCCGCTGCTCCCCTCAGCAGTGTACTTCGGTCCTTCTGCCTGCTCTGCTCCCCGCTCTGGCTCTGGTGAATTCTCTCGCCCTCCCGCTCTTCTGACTGTACCCAGTGCATGTATAAATAAATAAATAAAACATGCCTCTATAAAAAAAAAAATTAAAAAAATAAAAAAAATAAATAAATAAATAAAAAAAAATAAATCTGGCAGAAGACTCGAGGGAGGCAGAGACTAGAGAACAGTCACTGGACTTGACAATAACTGAGGTTACTGGGGATGTTCCCAATGAACTAAGACTACATTGAGCTGAACTACAAAGCAGCAGCGGCGACGACTGTCCAAAAATATAACTTGGAGCAGTCTTCTGTGTCACCTGCACACATGGGCCAGCTAAGAGCAATGCATGGGGAGTTCTTTAAGGACCCACAATAGATTAAACCCTCAGGTGCTCCAAGTGAGCCCTGCATCAAAAGGACCCCCAAAAGTTGTCTGGGACCCACGATCCTGGTTTAGCAACTCCAGAGAAACCTTACAAAGTTGTGTTCAGTACTGGAAGCCATCACCAGAGCAGAACGCTGGAAGTGTTCATATCCACGTTGGTTTGATTTCTCCTGCACCCCTCCCTCTGTCCTGTCACCATCTATGTGTCCCGGAGAGACACGGTGTCAGACACTGCTCTGCAAGTGCTCGTACCCCTCGAGCGGGCAGCACACTTCCCCTAAAGGCCATTCTGAACAGCAGCACCGGCGTCTGCCTTTCTGATGTGGCGGCAGAAAGCGCAGACACCGGTTTGCTCTCATCTCGGACAATTCCAAGGTCATAAGACCTGCTGGATCTCCACCACATCTTTGTCTTGTTTGTGCGTATTTCCCTAAAGCTGAATTGATGTTTCTGCTTGTCTGCTGTATGACCTTTCATAGAGTAGAATATAGAACTAAGAAAAAAATTAATGAATAGCTCACCAGAGACTTATTCATTGTCCGTTGCTCTTAGGATGCATCCAGGAGTCTGGAGGTGAGGTTGGGAAGAGGACGCAAATGGAGCAGATGTGCAAGGCCTGGCGTGGGTTGCTCCTCGGCCCCAGATGCTCCTGTCCACAGTGCTCTGCACAATACCTGGAAAAGACGAGACGTCTTGGAGGGCAAGCGTGAGACTTTGAGAAGAGGCAGGAAAGGACACTGAGTCTGTTCACTGGTAGAACTGAGACTGACAAATGGCCTGGAAATGAAGGCAAACTCGTACTTCCTACTGATACATCAATGTTTAGTGCTAAGAATTAAAAAAATTTAGAAGATGCTTACTCACGTGACATTTTTGACCCACTATTTCATTGGAAAATAAATACCATACATATATTACATACCATACATTTTGGTAGCACACTGATCCAAGAATGGCTCTGACCAACTCCCCTGGATTCACTGCCTTGTGTACCCACCCTGGGCAGTGGCGCAGGCTTTGCCACTGGACTTGTTTTGGCTAAAGGGAAATCAATGCATGTGTGTACAGGACGAAAAGTACTTTTCTGAGGGCTCTGCCTTCTTGGAACACTGTCATCTTGTGAAGACACCAAGGGGGAACCTGTTAGTGGCATGTAGCTGACTCAACAGCTGCCATAAATCCACAAAAGAGTAAGTTCTTTTTTTTTAAAAAAAAAAAAAAAAGATTTATTTTTATACAAGAGCTGGGGTACAGACCAGAGGCGCGGGAGGGTGAGAGGATTTACCAGAGACAGAGTGGGGAGCAGAACAGGCAGACGACAGAAATACACTGCTGAGGGGAGCAGCGGGTGAGGCAGGAGAGATCTGCCATGCCACGTGGGATTCTCGCCAACCAGCCGAGATTGAACCTGCACTGCCGAGGCTGTGGACAGCTTCACAGCACTGCACTCAACCTGCTGCGCCACTGGGGAGGCCTGTAAATGAAGTTCTTAACCCAACTAGCCTCAGTCCAGGCACAGAGGACTACGCTCCGTATGTCATCCAGGCTCTTAACCAGAGCAGAGAAACCAAGCAACGGTAACCAGCCAGAATGAGAAACCTCAGAGCTACCAGCAAATAAAACGGTTGGGCGTCTGTCTTTTTTTTTAAATTGGTAAATTTCGGTTAGTTCTTCACAACAAATGTTAAGTGATACATCTGAAGCCCCACACTCAATGTTTGTGCAAATTTTGTGGGGGACAAATTCTTTAATTAAGCACCAAGTACAATCAGCAGAACTTCACAACCACTTTTTTTTTTAAAGATTGATTTATTTATACAAGATCTGGGGTACATGCCAGAGGCGCAGGAGGGTGAGAGAATTCACCAGAGACAGAGCAGGGAGCAGAGCAGGCAGACAGACCTAAGACACTGCTGAGGGGAGCAGCGAGCAAGGCAGGAGAGGTCTGCTGCGCCATGTGGGAATCGACCTGGCCAGCCAGGAATCGAACTGGCACAGCAGAGGCAGCGGACAGCTCCACAGCGCTGTGCCCAACCTGCCACTGGGGGGCCTCTCACAATCACTTTTGAAAAGCATAACAAATGTCAGTGAGGTTGCCAGAATGGAGAGAAACTATGCAAATCATACAAAGAAATTGTCTGCAGATAAGAAAACTATGTTTTCAGTTTTATATCACAACCGATTTTAGTTTTTTAGCAAGAACAAGAATTTTCTTTATTTCCATGTTGAGAAATGGGTGAGGAGCAGCCCCGTGATGGTCTAATTTTGCTATCTTATATATGCAATAGGCTCAACTGTTGATTCTGCAGGGAAGGTTACTCCATTAAGTGAGAAATACTTATCATGGACCCCACAAGGTCACAGAGCGCACAGAGAGCAACAGGGAATAAGGGACAGACACTCAAGCGCTTCTAAAGCATGCATGTTCTCAGTTGGCTGCAACTTCTCAGAAACGGTGTCAAGAATAAATAGGTGTTTCGGCTGACTTGTGGAGAAGTGGTAACACTGGCCCAAAGCTGATGTACACAAATCACCCGCCCTCAAATAAAAAATGTTTCAACTTTCTTAAAAGGCAGAAATAGGGCTTCCCAGGTGGCACAGCAGTTGAGCGCTGGGTTGCGAAGCTGCCCGCAGCCTCTGCAGCGATGGTTCCATCCCCGGCTGCTCCCGTCCACCGGAGGAGGGTCCCACATGGCGCGCAGACCTCTCCTGCCACCCGCTGCTCCCCTCAGCAGTGTACTTCGGTCCTTCTGCCTGCTCTGCTCCCCGCTCTGGCTCTGGTGAATTCTCTCACCCTCCCGCGTTTCTGACTGTGCCCAGTGCTTGAATGAATGAATGAATGAATAAATAAATAAATCTTTAAAAAAAGGCAGAAATACCCAACAAACCCTTACTGAAGGAGCATGACACTCCTGACAGGAAGCGTTGGCGCAGAGTCGCACCCAAAACTGATCACAAACGAGTATAGAGCTGGATCAGAGTCTGGAAACAGAGAGGGCAGAAGAAGGGTGCGGTTGGATACTCGCAGCTGAGACAGTCAGTCCTTCGGCCGGGACCACACCCCAGAGACGCTTCCCTGAGGAGCAACTCCCAGGCCTCCGCGTACCCCTCAGCTCAGCTCAGGTCAAGCTCCCGGCATCTCAGCTCAGCTGCTGGAGGGGGCAGCGCCCGATCTTGTCCGCTCTGGGCAGCAGCAGCAGCACCTGCTTGGTCGTGTGAGGTGAGCGTCTTCCTCCCCGTGCGCGGCCACCGGACTCCTGCTCACAGGACGGTGCTGACCCAACACGCGTCCTAACAGCTTCCTTGTTGCAAAGACACAGGCCCGGCCCCGACCCCGGCAGCGCCCCAGAACCCAAGGTCCCTGGGAAGCCGGGAGCGCCAGGGGGGACCTGGCGCCGGCGGGGGTCGGGGGGTGAGGTGGGGGACCTGGCACCCCGCCTGAAGAGACTCCAAGAGCCCCCCGGCAGTACCTCAGAGACGAGGTCCACACCCTCCCCGGCAGCTGCTCCGGGAATGGGGGTGCCGCACCGGGCAGGAACGGGCGCGCCCCGACGCGCAGCCCGAGGTCACCGAGACGCGGGGCTCCCCGGACGGCCCGCGGAGGGGGACGTCACCTCCGCCCGCCGCCCCCGACTCGCCGCTGTGGACAACCCCAGCTCTGGACCAGCCCACGCCCCGCCGGGCACCTGCGCCCGGACGCCCCCGAGCAGGTGTGAGTGACGCCGCCCCGCCCCCGACCCGTCCGCGGCCCCTCACGACGGCCGTCCCGGGCTGCCCGCGCCGCGGCTCGCACCTGACTCAGCCGCTCGGGCACCTGTCAGTAGCGTCCCTGTCCAGCCGCCCCGCGGCCCCAGGGCCCGGGAACCCCTTCACCTCACACCTTCAGAGACAAAGTCCTCTCAGGTGCCGCGCGGCGGCAGCGCGAGCGGCGGCCCGGCGACTTCCGGGAAGAGCGTGACGGGGCGGGGCCGCGCCTGCGCAGAAGAACCCAGACGCCTCCTTCCTACAGCCGCGGGCGGGAACGCGCGGCGTCGCCAGACTACATTTCCCACAAGTCCGTGCGCGCCGCCCGGCAGTCGGGACGCCGGTCTCTCCCGGGCTCGGTCTCCCGCGGTGAGGCCCGACGGGGAGGGCGTCGGGGCCGGCGGGCGGCGCCCTTGGGAAGGGGACGGGGGCGACCCCGGGGAGGCGCAGAGGAGGGGGGCGCGCTTCGTCCCCCGAGAGTGCCCAGCACTCCCCGCCGGCTCGTCCCTGCCCGCTCTTCTCGCAGGGGGCGCGGGGCGAGGGCGTTTCCCCGCCCCAGAGAGTTCCGCTCTGGCGGGATGGAGGGGACAAATGGACGTCAGGTCGACGAGCGCACTTGTCATGACCTCTGGCCTCCCTGGTGGCGCAGGGGTTAAGAAGCAACCTGTGAAGCTATCAGCAGCCTCTGCAGCACGAGTTCGATCCCCGATCCCCGGCCAAGGAGCTACCCACACGGCGCGGCAGACCTCTCCTGGCTCCCAGCTGCTCCCCTCAGTGGGTTTCATCAGTCTGCCCCACTCTGTCTCCGGTGAATCCTCTCTACCGCCCCCTTACACCTCTAGCCTGTACCCAGGTTCTTGTATGCGTAAATAAATCTCTAAAAAAACGAAAAAGGTTATTGTTGCAGATGACCCTAAATCTGGGTCATTTTCACACTAAGTTCCTGGTAGCAATTTCTCTCGAGGTCTTCAGGGCACTGATTGATCTTAATCCCACGTGCCATCTGGACATTAGGGGGAGGGGGAGGCCGATCCTATACAAGATCCCTGGCACTGAAGTGGTGCATCAGGAGGCTCCATTTAGAAGCATCTAGGGGCCTCCCTGGTGGCGCAGGGGTTAGTCTCAGCACTATGAAGCTATCAGCAGCCACTGCAGCAGGAGTTCAATCCCCGGCCAGGGAGCTACCCACAGGGCGCAGCAGACCTCTCCTGCCTCCCCGCTGCTCCCCTCAGCAGTGGGTTTCAGTGGCTCTGCCTGCTCTGCTCCCCACTCTGTCTCTGGTGAGTCCTCTCACAACCCGCACCCCTGGCCTGCACCCCAGCTCTTGTATGCATAAATAAATAAATCTTTATTTATATAAGAAGATAAATAAATAAGAACATAAAGAAATATTTATGAAAGAAGCTGTAGCATCTGAAAACTCCCACAGCTACTGGCATTCAGGCACCCAGATCAAAGCAGCTCCTGTGCTGGTGGCCTTGAAGCACCTCTTTTAAAGGGAGCCCCTCAAATGCTTTCACTAGTTAGTGTGTTGGATAGAACACAGGACAACGAGGGAGAGTAGACAGGTGATGAGCAGGGGGTGGATGAAGTAGGTTAGGGACTAATGACAGGTGGTGGGTGGAAACCGGACTTTGGGAATTTACATCCCTACTCCATGTGGTGTCTACAGGTATTGAAATGAGGTTCTGCACTCTAGGAACTTAGAGGCTGCGGGGCCTGGTAGCCAGTGTCTCAGGCTCTAATTCTCCCACGCTGATCGGGGCTTCAGGGAGGCCCCATTCTTTCTTGTGGGAGGTTTATCTCCTGCTATTGGGGAGAGAAGGGAGAGTTAGCGCCTCCTTGTCTCTCTTGCTCCTGTTCTTCCTCCTCTTCCTCCACCCCACTATGCCTTCCTCCCCTTGTAGGGCAGCCTCCTTCTTCAGAGTAAAAAACTCTTACAAGTTACTATAACAAAATTTCAGGTCAAGGTCATTATACACATTATGTTCGGTGGCCAGATAAACTGTAGGGAATGTGCTGGGTTTCAGCAGAATTTTGCTCCAGGAGCCATGAACTTTTCTGAGAAACTTTAGAGGGCTCTCTCTGCTCGGCGTCTGCTGTTTAATGTTACCAACGATGCCACACACTTCGGACCTACTGACAGGCTTGTGTCATCATCTCTGTTTGCAAATGTCTGTTTCTGTGGGGGTGGGGGCGGTGCGCCCTCAGACACAAGTGTCCCCAGTGGAACATGCTCCTGCAGGAAAGTCTTTACATGATGCTAGTTTCCAGGACTGGGCGAGCTGACGATTAGACGGGACCCATGAGGTGTATGTGGAGGAGAGGTGGAGGGACACTTTCCTAGCCCCAGCAAGAGAATCGGATGAAGACACAATGGTGGTGCCAGGAATGGGCAGGTGAGGGCAGCGGTGACAAGAGGGCAGCACCTCTCTCCCCACCCCAGTCCACCCTGCCCCCTCTCTCCAAGCCACCTGAGACCACAGCCCCTTCGCCCTGCCTTGCTTCTTCCTCTTTCCCTCTCTCCCTCCTCACCTTCCTTCCTCCCTCCCTCCCCCAAAAAAGGCTCCTCTTGCCTTGCTTTTCTGACCTGTATACCAGTGAATCAAGCAATTTCCTCCACAGCAATTGCAGAGGACATCATGTTCTACTCCTACAGCCTCCTTTACAGACAGGAAACTGAGGCCCTGAGGGGAAATAAACCTAATTCATGGTTTATAAATTGCATTTTGGGGGCCCCCCTGGTGGCACAAGGGGTTAAACACCAGCACTATGAAGCTACCTGCAGCCTGGGCCAGGGAGGTGACCCACAGGGCGCAGCAGATCTCTCCTGTCTCACCCCGCTGCTCCCCTCAGCAGTGTATTTCAGTTCAGTCTGCCTGTTCTGCTCCCCACTCTGTCTCTGGTGAGTCCTCTCACCCCTCACACCTCTGGCTTGCACCCCAGTTCTTGTATGCTTAAATAAATAAAAATAAATCTTAAAAAAAAAAGAAGCATAAACAGATAAGTCAGAGCTGGTACCAGGGTAGCCTTGCCTCCCCCCACCCCGAGTCTGCAGGGCCCCACAGGCTTGTGAAGGGTTAAAATACTGTCAAAGCCATAGACAAGCTGAACCCCAAAGCCATGGCAATGGCCCTGTATTAGCTATTCTCTTCTTTTCTGTGTTCTTGAAGCTCTGTCATCCATGGAAGATTCCTACTTCCTCATAGTCACTGAATGGCTAGTCAGGATTTTCACCCAGAAGTTCCCACATGGCCATGGGAGACAAGAGGGCGCCTGCCCCAGACCTTGGTGTTCAAACATTTGGTCCCCGAAGGACATCTCTGTTGTTTCATTTTGGGCCTAAATTTCTGTTAGTTTTTCTTCTGTTAAACCATCTCCTATTTCAGGAGGATCTCAGTCAAGGCCTTAGAAGAGAATGTGGGAAGTTCCTTTTCCGCTGCGACACATACAAGGAAGTGCATGCTATTCACAGTAGAAAGTGATGAACCATCAAGCTGTGTGTCAGGAGAGAATTTCCCCCATTCCTCTGGCTGACTGAACAGTCCAGTTAATGGACACATGAGGAGAACAGAACAAATATCATTTCATACCCTCCCCCTGTTTCTGACAGAAACAGAAACCTAAAACCTAATGGCAGCATCCTAGCCATAACCCCATACTCTAACTTATGGCACATGGTAATCATAACACTTACTGTTGACACTATGTATAACATGATCCTTCATGCAGAACCCTTACCCCAACTCAAATGCTACCCCTAACCTGAGCCCTTAACACTCTGAATCACTAATACCAAATCCAGTCCCACCCAGTCACACAAAGACATCACAAAAATAGAAAACCACAGACCTATACCCTCCACAAAATAATGATATAAAGAAAAATATTCAGCTAACTGCATGTTAAAAGATTTAAGCACCACAAGCATCTTTAAACCCAGAATTTTAAGGGTTGTTCAAACACTAAAAACAAACAAGATAAATCATGTTCATTGTGTCAAGGAAAAACACTGTTAATATCATTTAATGCAGAAAAAATTTTAAACAAAATACAGTGCCCTTTCATGATATCATCACTCTACAAAGTGAGACCCAAAGAAAATCTCCTTAATATAATAAAAAACATTACACAAAACCAATGGCAAGCACCATGGTTCAATGTCCCCCTTGCTTATTTATATTCCACAGATAAATAAAACTACCCAGGAACTTTCACTTTCTGACTTACTTCACTTAACAACCTTACCAAGGCCATCCATTTTGAAAGGTGGTGTTAAATCTTTTTCATAGCAGCGTAGTATTCCATTGTGTATGTAACCCACGACTTCTTTATCCAGTCATCTGTGGGTGGGCACTTAGATTGGCTCCATGTCTTGGCTATTGTGGATAATGCTGCTGTGAATATAGGGGTGCATAAATCTTTTCATATTACACAGTTTTATGTTTGGGGGGGTTCACCACCTAGCAGTGGTGTTGCTGGATCACATGGGATTTCCATAACTATAGATCGCCTCTCCTCTGAAGACACCACTCATTAATTTCCATCATTAACTCTGCAACACCTTACTGCAGAGATCATTTTGAGGTACTGAAAGTGAGGTTTTCAACACATCTCTTCCAACCCAAGTATTTTCATTGCTTTTGAAAACAATAATTTGTGATTCAGTCACTGACTGGTTTACATTCAATTTAAATTGACACTGAATTCTGGCATCTGTCATCACTGTAAAGGTGCATCACAAAGACCTGAGGTGAAAGCTGAGTATCTCTGCCTGACTGATTTTCTGGATTGTGGCCCAGTCTTTCAGTCCCATCCACTCACTACACAAAGATTTTTGTTGGCAGTTGGCTAGTGAGCGCCCACATTTCCTATGTTAATTGTTCTCAAAGATCAGCTGGGAAATGTTGCCTTTCTTAATTTTTTTTTTAAAGATTTGTTCATTTATGCATACAAGAGCTGGGGTACAGGCCAGAGGCGTGTGTATATGGGGGTGAGGGGGTATACCAGAGACAGAGTGGGGAGCAGAACAGGCAGACTGACTGAAATACACTGCTGAGGGGAGCAGTGGGTGAGCCAGGAGAGGTCTGCTGCGCCATGTGGATTGTTCCCTGGCTGGCTGGAGGATCGAACTGGTGCTGCAGTAGGTGTGGACAGCTTCATAGGTTGCATCTTAACCCCTTGCGCCACCTGGGAGGCCCTGCCTTTCTTATTTTTTTTTTATAAATAGGCTAAGAACCCATGGAGAAAACTTTTAAACAAGTGAAAAAACGTTGGGTCCACGTCTGTGTTCAGACAGGCCAGACACAGGCCTCACTTTCTGGGCCCTAAATATAGCAGTGGGTATGTTTCAAAATATTCTCTGTGGGGCCTCCCTGGTAGTGCAGGGGTTAAGTCTCAGCACTATGAAGCTGTCCACAGCCACTGCAGCATGAGTACTATCCCAGCTAGGGAGCTACCCACATGGCGCAGCAGACCTCTCCTGACTCACCCGCCTCAGCAGTGTGTTTCAGTAGATATGCCTGTTCTGCTCCCCACTCTGTCTCTGGTGAATCCTCTCATCCCCTGCACCTCTAGCCTGCACCACAGTTCTTGCATGCACAAATAAATAAATCTTTTTTAAAATATGCATAAATAAATCTTTAAAAAAAAGTACACAGTGAGGGTGCTTTCCTGCCTCCACCTGTCCTGGGGGGTGGAGTCTGGGGGTGTGGGTGGAAAGGGGTGGGACCACCACGAGGGGGTCAGAGGGAGGAAAGCTGCACTGTCTTTTCAGCCCTTCCTGGGAGTGTCTTTATCCAAACACACTCATCTGAACATAGGGAAGTGCAAAGGGACGAAGTCCTGGGTTCACTTCTGCCAGCCCCCCAATAACAGAGTGGGGAGCAGGAGGTTTGGGCCCCATCGTCCAGGGCAGGTAGAGCACTGGGCATTACGTGACAGGTGTGAAAGTTTCTATGGTAGCTGTGTAGGTTAATTTTTCAGTTAGGTTTTTTTTTTAAGATTTATTTATTTGTTTGTTTATTTATTTATTTATGCATATAAGACCTGGGATGCAGGCCAGAGGTGTGGGGAGTGAGAGGACTCCCCAGAGACAGAGTGGGGAGCAGAACAGGTAGATCCACTGAAATCCACTGCTGAGGGGAGCAGCGGGGAGACAGGAGAGGTCTGCTGTGCCCTGTGGGTAGCTCCCTGGCCGGGGTTCAAATTTGAGCTGCAGAGGCTGCGGACAGCTTGATAGCGCTGTCTTTAACCCCTGCACCACCAGGGAGGCCCTGGCATCAAAGCTTCTGTTGTAGATGTTAAGGTTAACTTTTCAGTTAGTTTTTTTTTTTTTTTTAAAGAAAAGGCTGAACAATTTAGAACTTTCCCCAGTCCAGTTTCATCCGTTGACGTAGGAAGACCAGAGTGACGCCGTCTGGTGCGGGAAGGCAGCCAGCTGCCGGGAGCTCCTTCTGTGTATTGGCCTGCTCTCATGCCCCTGGCACACCCCAGTTCTCTTAGTGGGTTCAGGGGCGCATCCCCCCGACACCTGCTAGGGGTGAGCAGGTACAAGAAGGCCCTGCAGGAGAGTGGCTGCGTCCTGCCTCCACCCGATGTCCCATAGACAGCATAGGCACCAGGGACCCCGTACACAAGCTGCCCTGAATGAGTGTGAATAAACTGGACGTGGTGACGGAACATGCCTGCTTCGTCCCTCGGACGCAGGGCCGCTGCCCAGCCTGGCCGATGAACTGTTCCCGCAGCTGTGCTGCTGGATGCTCCTGGTGGACACGGCCTTAGCCATTGGGGCTGCTGTCTGAGGCCCCGTGGACTGGGGCTTGAAAAGCATCCCACGGCGGCTCTCACAGGAGGCTGGACGTCCAAGGTCACAGCCGAGGCCTCCTGGCTGGTGGGTATCCGCTTCTCACTGTCCTGACCAGACAGAAGAGGAGAGGCCAGATAGAGGCTAGACAGAGGCCTGGGGCCTTTATCAGGGCACTGCTGCCGGCCATGGGGCTCCACCTCGTCCCCCCAGAGCCCCACCTAACACCAGGCGCTGGGAGAAGGTGTGTGTGCAGCTCAGCACGACGTTGCCGTGGGGAAACAGGCACGTTGCTCAGCTCATCTTCCTGCTGAGGTGACCGCTCCCCTCCCAGGCCTGACAGCGGATGGGGGACAGGGGCCGCGTTGTCCTGGGTGACGCAGGAATGCCAGACGCCTCCTCCAAATGGCACAAGTTTTCACATTTTACTAAGACCCAGTTTTTACATTTGCAGAGAAATGGAACATTTTATACGATCTTCATTTTCATTGTCACTTCTGGTTGAACCTTCCCCGTCCTGCCGTGTCAGCTGTTCACTGACTGGGGACTCAGGTCCTGTAGGAAATGGGGGAGGCTGTGTCTGGGGGTGGCTGTGAGGCTGTGGCTCCAGCTCCAGCCACGGCTTACAAGTGCCGTCAACTCAGCCCTTTCTGCCTGGTGAGGAGAAGGGACCGGGGCTCACTCTCCACCTGGGACTTCACTGGAGCCTGGCAACGCCCCGCAGAGACGCCCCTGAAGCCGTGGGCCACGTGCACTTGCTCAGCCTTCACCTGGGCCTCAGGTAGAAGCCAACCCCCATCTGATGGGCGAGGAAGTGGAGGTGGGAGAGGCAAGTCCCGGGCCGCAGGACACAGCTCGGACATGGGAGAGGCAGCACGCGCGGGCAGGCCCTGGTGTGCACGCTTAGCTGTCGGTCCTGCTAAGTGAGGGCCGGGCCGCAGGGCCGCATGTCCAGGAAAGTCCAAGAGCAGAGGGTGACGCGGGCACCTACAATCCAGCCCACCCTGAGCTCCAACCTCCCAACTGTACCCCCACGACAGAAAGACAAGACCCATGTCCGGCGCCCAGACAAAGCAGGCTTGGGGCATTTGGGGGCCGATTAGGATAAACAGTGTCGGCCCGTGCACTCGCCAACAAGAAGCAATGAACATCACGAAGTGTTCATAGGTGAGTGGTTTTGTCTCATTTATGAGGCTTTTGTCAAAGTGCAGCCTCCAAAGCTGAGATGAGGCTCTTCCTGACAGTCACCGGCCTGGTCTCTCCCGCTCGCAGCAGGGTTAGCACCAACCCGCCGTGCAGCTGTGCCCAGGTCGCCCCTCAGCCGCTGGTGCCCACTCTGGGGCGCATCGGGGACTGTCACTTAACTTTTGAACCCCTTGCCTCGGCATGTCCTATTTTGTTTTCACCTACACCCACACAGCTTAAGCGAGGCGAGTAGCTCCTCACGGGAGGGCGCTTCCTGAAAGAGCAATTGCCAAAGAAGTGGAGCTGGGACTCCACGCGCCCCTCCGGGGAGCTCACCTGTGCGCCGGGCTCACGCCAGCAGAGGGCACTGCCGAGACCGGCTCCGCGCGGGCTTGCTTGGCTGAGGACCCGCTGTCCGATGCCCGATGCCCGGCTCGCTCGGCCGCAGATGCACCTGCTGAGGCCCAGTCTTGCAGGAAGTGGACTCACGACATGCTGGAAACCAAAGTTTAAAAAAAGATGAACTTTTTATTTTATTTACTTATGTATTAAATTTATTTATTTATGCATACAAGAGCTGGGGTGTAGGCCAGAGGTGTCGGGGGTGAGAGGACTCCCCAGAGACAGAGTGGGGAACAGAACAGGTGGATGGACTGAAATCCACTGCTGAGGGGAGCAGCGGGGAGACAGCAGAGGTCTGCTGCACCCTGTGGGTCAGCTCCTGGGCTGGGATTCAAACTCGTGCTGCAGTGGCTACCGAGGGCTTCCTAGGTTGCACCTCAACCCTTTGCACCACCAGGGAGGCCCCAAGATGAACTTTCTAATATTAAATCCTAAATACAAGAGCAATCCCCTCCACGTTGCCTTGTGTCTTTGAAACTTTAAGTGAACATTCTTGGGGGGATACTGGCTGCCACCGGATACCACAGTGGACCCTGTGGTGAATCCCAGATGTGAGGGGACCCCCTCCTTGCTACCAACCAGCCACCCAAGGACCCCAGCAGGTATTAGAATTTTTTTTAAAAGATTTATTTATGCATACAAGAGCTGGGGTACAGGCCAGAGGTGAGGGGGGTGAGAGGACTCACCAGAGACAGAGTGGGGAGCAGAACAGGCAGATTGAATGAAGTACGCTGCTGAGGGGAGCAGCGGGCGAGACAGGAGAGGTCTGCTGTGCCATGTAGGTTGCTCCTTGACCTGAACTCGTGCTTCAGAGGCTGTGGATTGCTTCATAGTGTGGTGCTTAACCCCTTGTGCCACCAGGGAGGCCCCAGGTCTTAGAATTTCTCTTGATCCCCATCTGTCCACAGGGGTCTGCAGGCAAAGGCCCCGCCCCCCAAGACCACCCTCCACCTCAGTCCTGTAAAGCCAGAGAGACGGGTTTCTCTAAGAAATGAAGCCACCCTTCTGGGTGCAGGAAAGGAGGGCTTCCATTCTCACTGTCACAGACCTGACAGGCGGTACCTGGAGGCACCTGGGGCTGGGCCACCACCTCCACCTACAGCACCTGCTGGGAAGGCAGTGATGGTGACACCTGGCTGGGCCCAAGCTGATCCCACACAGTGATCTCCTGGCAAGGTCTGGGGCCTGGCCAGCTGGCGGCCTCAGGGAGTCAAGGACGCCTCGTTAATCAGCAGGCTGTGGGGTAAAGGCAGCAGGTCCCAGGGCCTTTGAAAGGGGCTGGCAGAGATGGCAGGCAGGGCACAGCGCTCACAGGCCTCCCATCCCCACGGACTGCAGGTCCTGCCTGGGGGCGAGTGGGGGCTGACGAGGAGCTCAGGGCCCCATCCCGGGGCAGGGGTTGGGCACTGCTGCGGTGCCTGGGTGCTGGTGCTGTTGAGGCAGACACGTCGAGGACGCCATTAGGTACCTTCACCTCACATCTTCACCACACATCCCCTTGCCTTCCCCCCCAAAGCCTTTCTCTTGCCCGCACCTTGGAGTCTTCCCCTCTCCTCTGCAGCTCTGTCACAGCACAGCCACAGCCGCTTTTCCTTCACTGCCTGGGGTCTACTGCACCCCAGCTCTGGCTGTGAGCACCTGGAGGGCAGTGCTCCCACATCAGCTGATTTCGCTCAGCTCCTCCTGGTTCTGTACACACAGAAGTGCTCCGTGCTTGGCTGGCGACTTAGATGAGCCCAGGGACACGCGGGGATGGCATTCAATCCCGCTGCTGACCTAAGAGATCTGACCATCCGTGAGGGAACGAGATAGGCTCTCCCAGCCAGGGGCGTGCATGTCTCCCGAGGACACTCCCAGGGGCAGCACAGTCCAGAGGTGGGACAAGGACCTCGGAACCAGGACAGTTTCTTATTCACCATGGATGCCCAGGGCGGTCCCTTCCTCTCTCCAACTCCGAGCAGACTCCCTCTCAAGGGTGCGGGAGGATAAGGGAGACAGAATAGGCAAAGCACCTGGCTCAGGTGAGCTGACCCAGGGGCAGCTGTTGCTAGTGCAGAGCAGAGATGGCAGCCCAGACAGGGGACACACACCGCTTGAAAACTGAGGAGCCAGAATAGAACCTACAGGTGGAACAGGAATAAAACACACAACTGTCAATTGCAAGACAGGTGGACACAGAGGCTGCCAGCCCCTGACAGGCAGGCTCAGACCTGGCCTGAGGGTTTTCTGCCAGATCCATGGCCCCAGCAAGTCACGAAGCAAGCCAGGCATAAGGCCGGGAGGTGGATGTCTGAGCACATACAGAGAGGAGGAGGTGGTGGCACTCCCCTGCAGACACCGGCCCCGCTCAGTGGAATATGTCACAGCTCATGAACATGAGACAAACAGAAACGGACTCCACCGTCGGGAGGCCTGTGCTAGGAGCTGGCCAAGGAGAGGCTGTTGGCCAAGGGGTATGAATCTGGATGGAAGGCTGTGGCCACACAAAGAGAAGTGTCCAGAAATGGTTGAATTGAAGGTGAAACAGAAAAGACCTTTCATTTTTATTTAAAGATTTATTTATTTATGCATACAAGAACTGTGGTGTAAGCCAGAGGTATGGGGGGTGGTGAGAGGACTCCCCAGAGCCAGAGTGGGGAGCAGAAAAGGAGGATCCACTGAAATCCACTGCTGAGGGGAGCAGTGGGAGACAGGTCTGCTGTGCCCTGTGGGTAGCTTCCTGGCCAGGGATCGAACTCATGTTGCAGTGGCAGCTGACAACTTGTCTTTAACCCCTGCACCACCAGGGAGGCCCCAAGACCTTTCTTCTTTTTTCTCTTTTTAAAGATTTATTTGTGCATACAAGAACTGGGGTATAGGCCAGAAGTGTGTGTGTGAGGGGGAGAGGATTCACCAGAAACAGAGTGGAGAACAGAACAGGCAGAGTGGCTAAAGTACACTGCTGAGGGGAGCAGTGGGTGAGTCAGGAGAGGTCTGCTGCGCCATGTAGGTGGCTCCTGGGACGGGGATTAAACTCACACCACAGAGGCTGCAGATAGCTTCACAGCGCTGCGCTCAACCCCTTGTGCCACCAGGGAGGCCCTACCTTTCATTTTTAATGGTTCTAAAAGACAACTCAGGGCCTCCCTGGTGGCGCAGGTGGTTGAGCGCTGCACTGTGAAGCTGTCCACAGCCTCTGCAGCACCGATTTGATCCTGGCCGGCTGGTGAGATTCCCACATGGCGCGGCAGACCTCTCCTGTTGCACCCACTGCTCCCCTCAGCAGTGTATTTCATCAGTCTGTCTGTTCTGTTCCCCGCTCTGTCTCTGGTGAATCCTCTCACCCTCCTGCGCATCTGGCCTGTATGCTGGTTCTTGTATAAATAAATAAATCTTTTGAAAAAATGACATCATTTAAAAAAATAAATAAATAAAAGACAACTGACTAAAGCAAAAGTGGTAGTGTGAGCTGTACACAGTTATGCTTACGTGGAAGCAGAATGTATGCCAACTGTAGCCTGGAAGTTAGAAGCGGGGAGCTGGAGGGTAGCGTGTACGGAGAGCAGTATGACTGATCAATGAAGAATGATCAGAAGCCCTGCGACTGGCCAGAGGTTGTCGGCAGCAGGGTCACCCTCTCCTCAGGCTCCCGCCTTCCCAAGAACATTCTCCTCGGGAGCCACAGACTAACTATGAACAGACTCACTGAATAGACTCGTACTCTAAAGGGCTTCCACAAACTTAAAAGAATTGAAGCCAGATGAAGGACATTTTCTAATCAGAGAAGAATTAAACCATAAATCAACAACAAGGAGACATCTGCAAGCACCCCAATGCTTTGGGAATGACAATACCCAGGGGAGGTAGAAGATGTTTTGAATTGAATACAAATGAAAACACATACATCAAAGATGTGTGGGTGCAGCTAAAGCTATACTTAGAGGAAAATGCATGGTAGGATACGTATGCTTACATCAGAAAAGCAGTCAGTAATCTCAGTTTAAAAAATTAGAACAGGCCCTCCCTGGTGGCACAAGGGGTTAAGACGCAAGCTATGAAGTTGTCCGCAGCCGCTGTGGCGCAGGTTCGATGCCTGGCCGGCCAGGGAGCTGCTAGCATAGCACCGCAGACCTCTCCTGACTTGCCTGCTTCTCCCCTCAGCAGTGGGTTTCAGTGGATCTGCCTGTTCTGTTCCCCACTCTCTCTCTTTGGTGGATCCTCTCACCCCACCCCCCGCACCTCTGGCCTGTGCCCCGGCTCTTGTATGCATAAATGAATACATCTTTAAAATAAAAAAATAAAAAATTAGAATAATAAGCAAAGTAACCCAAAGCAAGAGGAGGAAAATAAGAAAGGAAGGGCAGAAATTAACAAAATTAAAAACTGAAAACAATAGAGGAAAAACAAAGAAATCAGAAGCTGATTCTTTGAAAAGACGGATGAAATTGATAAACCTCTTGCCAGGTTAAGCATGGACAACAGAGGACTCAAGCTGAGCAGGAAGGTCTCAGGACAGGCCTGGACAGGACTCAAGGACAAAATTCTCTCCCATGGGCTGATAAACAGGAGAGTAAAAACCTGAGGCCTCCAGGCCTGGATACTTGCTGTCAGAAATTTCTACTGTCTTTTTCTCCCCCCCATTTCTGAGCTATCTTCCACAGCTTATCGAGTCGGCTGCCATGGGAAAAAAGGGAGTTGCAGGCCCAGAGGAACAGAGTCAACGACCTTGAGAGCAGGCTGGTTCACACAGGAGCCACGGGCTCGGCCCCCGTGAGATGCTCCCCTTGGGAATGGTCACAGTTTGCCCCCCCCAGAGCTGCAGCTGGGCACCCAGAAGCAGCAAAATAATGGATGTCAGCCAACTGCACTCTCCTCGGCCAATAAAGTTTAGTCCCTTTGTTCCCAAATTCCAGTCCTAAAACCTACACAGACTCCTGGCTCCCGCACCTCCCCAGTCCCTCTCCTGCTCAGAGGGGTCCCCCCGCACCCCCAGTTATCTTTCCTTGATCTGCTGCTGACTCCTTGCCTGCCCTCACCATGTGTCTGTGGGGTCCTCTTCTCAATCTCCATGGGTGGGTGGGGGGTCTCGAATGTCTTTCCCCAGCCTGGGGCAGGAACCCTGGGTCCATCTCTTTGCCTGTGTTGTAAGAAGTTAGGAGGGGGCTGAGGGGCTGCAGAGCTGCTCCCTTGTTTGGTGACAAAATGACCAATTGTAGACACTTACAGGCCATAAAGGAACATAAAGGAAGATCAGCGTTATGCAGAGAAATGTGACACTTCAGATCAAATGGACAAACCCTGGAAAAGGCAGAGTCACTGGAGAGGAGTGAGCTGAGTTGAGAGGCCGTGTGTCCACTCAAGACAATTCACACTAACATTATTCTAAGAGAGAAGGGCCTCCCTGGTGGCCTAGGGGTTGAGTGTCAGTGCTATCACCTCTATGCCTGACATAACCACACGGCTCAGCAGATCTCTCCTGTCTCCCCGCTGCTCCCCTCAGCAGTGTATTTCGTCAGTCTGCCTGTTCTGCTCCCCACTCTGTCTCTGGTGAACCCTCTCACCCTCCCCCCAACCCTGCGCCTCTGGCCTGTATCCCAGCTTTTGTATGCATAAATAAATAAATCTTTTAAAAATAATTAATTAAAAAGAAAAAGAAAATAGCAGAATAATGACTCTCAGGAACACAGAGGCAGTACGTTCTCAACCAGACGTCAGCAAACGGTTCGTAGCAACACAGATGGGACTGGAGGGGATGACATTAGGTGAAATAAGTCAGAAGAGAAATACTGGGTGATTTCTAAGCCCCCTGTGGGAAGCAAAGAAGGTGGAACAGCCCGAACAATTGTGAAGGGGAAAGTGGGAAACTTACCAGCACGTCCGGGACACACTGCACACACGGGCAGCCGATCGTGGACAGATTCGAAGGCAACTGGGGGCAAACGGGTAGTCTCTTCAAAGACACGGTGCTGGGGAAACTGAAGCGCCGATGGAAAAGGGAAGAAAAGAAGAAATGAGCTTTTTGAGTCCTCCAGCGCCAAGCACCGAAACTAACTGAAATTTACATAAAATCTACCTAAAACAGAACACCGTGACTTTCCTAGGAGAAAATTCAGGGGACATGTTGTCATCTGTGAGGGCAAATACTTTCCGTAGACAACACCCAAGCACAACCCACAGACGCATCTCCTGGCCTTCGGAGCTAAGAATTTCTCTTTGAAGGACGTGGTTACACAAAAGGAAGACAGAAACACCTGTACCGCTCATACCCGAGAAAGAACTTCTGTTTGCCTCCTAACTCCATGGACTTCATTTTGGTGATTTTTCTGGTCACTGGAGCAAGTGAAAATTATGCTGGGGCGAGCAGCCACACCAGAGCCAGATAAACACGTCACCTCTCAGGCCCCTTCACATCGGGCAAACTGGTAACAGCCACGTTGAGATAAACACAGACAGTATTTCAGCTACTTTTTACAGTGTTGCTTAATGCAAAATGATGGCACCCTGTGTTCATGGGAGTCCAGTGACTTTGGGGGCTCAGTTTGATCTAGCCTTGTCCTCGCTGTTCTGAAGATCTGGTTTAATGGGACTCCCCGGTGGCGCAGCGGTTGAGAGCTGGGCTGCAAAGCTGCCCGCAGCCTCTGCAGCGCCGGTTCGATCCCCGGCCGGCCACCAGCGAGGGTCCCACATGGCGCGCAGACCTCTCCTGCCGCCCGCTGCTCCCCTCAGCAGTGTACTTCGGTCCTTCTGCCTGCTCTGCTCCCCGCTCTGGCTCTGGTGAATTCTTTCACCCTCCCGCGCTTCTGACTGTACCCAGTGCATGTATAAATAAATAAATAAATAATTTTTTTTTAAAAAAAAATTAAAAAAGAAAAGATCTGGCTTAATGATTTAGACTATGCCAAAATGACAAATTAGAAATTTCCTCTCTCCATAGCAGCATTATTTTTTTAAAGATTTATTTATTTATGCATATAAGAGCTGGGGTACAGGCCAGAGGTGCGGGGGTTTGAGAGGACTCACCAGAGTCAGAGTGGGGAGCCGAACAGGTGGACCCACTGAAATCCACTGCTTAGGGGAGCAGCGGGAAGACAGGAGAGGTCTGCTGTGCCATGTGGGTAGCTCCCTGGCCGGGGATTGAACGTGTGCTGCAGTAGCTGCTGATAGCTTCATAGTCCAGAGACTTAACCCCTTGCACCACCAGGGAGGCCCCATAGCAGCATTATTTAGCTGCCACAGCTAGCACATGGAAGTAGGCTAAATGCCCATCAGTAGGTGAGTGGATCCAGCAGATGGGTCCATCCACAGGTGGACACTGTCCAGCCCCAGGAACAACAAAAGGCTGCCTTTCCTCCAAAATGGAAGGAGCTGGATGGGGTGGTGTGCAGAAAGGCAAGGCAGAAAGATAAAGCCCAACAGGGGCCTCCCTGGTGGCGCAACCTATGAAGCTATCGGCAGCCACTGCAGCATGAGTTTGATCCCCAGCCAGGGAGCTACCCACATGGCGCAACAGACCTCTCCTGACTCTCCCACTGCTCCCCTCAGTAGTGGATTTCAGTTGATCTGCCTGTTCTGTTCCCCATTCTGTCTCTCACCCCCCACACCTCTGGCCTGTACCCCAGTTCTTGTGTGCATAAATAAATAAATCTTTAAAAAAAAACAACAGATAAAGCCCGAGAGTGGCTATCACATAGCAGACAATCCCCCAAAGTCAACTATTTACAAAAACCAGTGGACATTAATAAACACCATGGGGGTTCTGCGGTTAAGAGGGAGGGGGAAGGACGGGGAGACATAGGAATGGGTGTGGGGGAAATAAAAGCTCCAAGAAACAAAAAAGAAGGAAAATAACAGTGAAATGAAGAGTCAGAGTTCATGGAGGAAAATAAGGAGGAGGGTTCTGAGGTCAGAGGTGGTTGGGAACTAGGGAGCTGCTCCCGTGTCGGGGGAACGCGGGGAAGGAGAAAGAAGCAAACCCTATAACAGGTGTCCTTGGAACATGAAATCTAGCCATGTGTTTGGACACCCTAGGAAAACTGAAGCTAGCAGAATGGATGTCCTCTGTCAGTTCGGCTTCTGAAAATACATGGTAGCCGGGTCAAGCGGCAGTGCTGGACGCCCAGGGGCCCTACTCCAGGGCCCCGGCGAGCCCCTCCCCCAGTGAACCCCGCCGCTGCACCCCCCCCCCATGCCTCCCTCTGCTCATCTCCTCTGCAGACAGGGGCTGAGAGTTCAAGCGGCTGATTCTCTCCCATGAAGACTTTACCAGCTGACCTGGGGAGGTCTCTGAGGCTGTCCTGCTCCTCCGACCCCCACTGTCTCGTAATTTGAAGGTTAATTTGCAACCTGTCTCTGGCAGATAAAGGACTTTACCTAGTCTCATCCGAACGTGGGCTTCTTTTTCTATTTGATTTTCCTTTTCCCTCAGTGGAGTAAAGGCTGTTGACCTGTGCCCCGGCCGGTTCCAAAGGACGCCAGTTTGCTTTGCACTGTTTGCAGGAGCGGAGGGGTCAGGCCCTCCCCGCTGCTGGGGGCTGACTCCTGGGGCAGGAGGGCAGCTGGACCTGGGACTCAGCGTGGCCTGGGCCACAGAGGGATGGGGCATCTGCAGAAGCTCCTTAGCAAGGTCCAAAGTGACACAGAACTTGCTACACAGTGTGCAGGTGCTGGCAAGGTTGGCGAGCAGCAGGACCCCAACACATGGGGTCCCCAGGATCACAGGAGTCAAAGTTCAGGACTACTCATGTTGCCCCAAATCTGCTCTGGGGGTGTTGCCCTCCACGGCCACGGAGCTTCCAGGAGAGAAACGGTGGGCACTTGGCACCTGCACCAGGCCCTGTTGACCCCCCGCAGGGAGGCCAGGACACGGGACACAGAGGACCATGGAGGTGTCACCTTAAGCAGCAAGAAAATACAGAAAAATGCAAAGGAGCAGGCAGAAATCAGCTCCCGGGCCACGCCCGCAGCGAGGGGGGTCTGCTCCACGGAGATCTGCAGGCCTGGACTGATGGTAGCTGGGCAGAACCGGACACGCCAGCTTCCCTGCTGGACTGTGCTAGGCTCGGACTCAGCAGCACTGGGGCAGCCGGCGCCTCCTCACAGGAAAGCTGGACCCTTCCCCCAAGTGCTGTGGACAGCTGGGTGCTGGCAGGTGCGGGAGTGAAATGGGCCACGGCCATGCTTCTCCCCATCCTCATTCCTACGAGTACCACGAAGTGGGTGTCCGTTTAGGCACGAGCCTGCCATCAGCCAGCAATGACAATGACTGTGACTGTCATTAGACGGCCACAGGAGGCTGAGGCTGCAGGAGGTGAACAGAGGGCAGGTGTGTCTGGCCTGTCCATGGCCTGGAAAGAGTCAAATGAGCATTTCAAGTCAAGTTCTGACCCCAGCTGAGCCCTTGTAGGATGACGTTCATCACGAGTTGCCTTGACAGAACTTGCTCTAGTTTGGTGACCAACCAAGACAGTGGCCAGACGTCTGTACTCGCCGGCCAGCTAGTTCAACCAGAGGCCCAGTGGTGCTTTACTCAAAAATTCCCCGAGACTCATGGCCCCTCTGAGGTCTGGCCTGCTCCCTTGACAAGGCCAGCTCCCTGAACTCTTCTGTGCATGTTGTTTTCCTTTTCGGGACTTCTGCAAATAAAACAAGTTATTTGAAAGTCACGATTTTTAGCTGGAACGGGGCTGATGCAATAAGCCATGGGCAGTGCCCGTCAGAGCACCCGTTGGTCCTGGCGGCCGCGCCGGGTCTCCACGCCCTAGTGCTTCCTTGCTCATCTCCAGATCGCGGCCTCCCACAGTGTGGGTTTCTAAAGCGTCACTAGTCCTCTGCAGCATAGGTGCCTGAAGGTGGGGAGGGGAGGTTTCTGGAAGGATTCTGGGCAGTCAACCAAGGTGCGATGGTGCTACCTGAGGCACGTCTGCAGCCTCCAGGGCAGAGGGTCACCAAGGAGGCCAGAGCCTGCATCCCCAGGGAAATGCCACTTGGACGTGTTCTAGAGGCCAGGTAGAGCCCCTGGGGCTAGCGAGAGCTGCCAGTTTTAGAGAAACCGTGGGGGTGGGGGAAGGGTCCCCTGGAGATGCCCCCAATAAAACGCCAAGTGAAGGGTGTTTCAGAGCACCCGCAAGCTGCAGGGAAACAGGAGATGGTGGGGTGGGGGTGGAGATGAAGGAGGAGGTGAAAAGCTGGATCGACCAAGCACAATGTTTAACAAAGGCCGGACGGCACCCGGCAGTGGTGACAAAGAAGGGGGGGATGATTTTTAAGGCGTTGTATTTTAAAGAATCTCATCTGTAGCAAGCCATACCGAAATATTTATAGATAAGCTATTACATCTGGGATTTGCGTCAAAATAACAGCAGGGGGAGGGAGGGCTCCCTGGTGGCGTAGGGGTTAAAGACAGCGCTATCAAGCTACTGCCAGCCGCTGCTGCAAGAGTTGGATCCTCGGCCAGGGAGCAAGCCACAGGGCGCGGCAGACCTCTCCTGTCTCTCCACTGCTCCCCTCAGCAGGGGACTTCAGTCAATCCACCTGTTCTGTTCCCTGCTCTGTCTCTGGTGAGCCCTCTCGCCCCCCACACCTCTGGCCTGTATCCCAGTTCTTGTATGCATAAATAAATAAATCTTTTTTAAAAATCAAAAAAGAAAAAAAGAAAATCACCAGCTTCAGAATGACTGATAATGAGGTTGGTCTCTGCTTCTCTCACTCTCACTGTGGACCTGTGTGTTTCTGGCAGTGAAGGGGGTGTGCCCACATGCTTGGTGCGCCCCCCACACACACACTGCCAGGGAGCCTGGCTGGGGGGCTGTGTGATCCCCGCCCACCCCCTCCCCCAGACATAAGTGCTTCGGTCTTATCAGCAAAGTCCCTTTCCTCAACTGATTTCTAGGCTTCAAGTTGGGTTGGAGGTTTGCAACACAAAAGGGCTGGCTGGGGGGCTCTTCCTGGTGGTGCAAGGGGATAAGCATAGCACTAAGAAGCTGTCCAGCAGCCTCTGCAGCACAAGTTTGATGCCCCGCCAGGGAGCTACCCACATGGCGCAGCAGACCTCTCCTGTCTCCCCGCTGCTCCCCTCAGCAGTGGATTCTAGTACATCTGCCTGTTCTGTTCCCCACTCGGTCTCTGGGGAGTCCTCTAACCACTGTCCCCTGCCCCCCCACCCCGGCCCCCGCACCTCTGGGTGCACCCCAGCTCTTGTATGCATAAATAAATAAATCTTAAAAACAAAAGGGCTGGGGAGGCAGCTGAGGGTTAACCTCTGGCACAGAGAGAAGCCCTGTCTGGCGGGCAGCCAGGCCACTGCAGGGCCTCAGGGAAGGGTGGCCCAGCCTCCCTGGCAGCTGTCGTGATTCCCCGGTGTCCCCTTCCACAAATCTGTCCCCTTTTTTTAAATGTTAAAAAAAAAAAGAAGAAAGAAATGCGCGATCCCACTGTGTGCCTGCAACTTAGAAAAGATTTTTCAGAAAGGATAAGGGAAGGAATTGAATGACACTGCAATTCCATTGAATTCCGGCGATTGAATGACACTGTCCTGTATCAAAGACAAAACCATGGAGTGAGTGAGATCGGCTAACAGGCAGGACAAAAAGACAAAGTAGGTGACCCCACGCTGAGGGGTGCCAGGCCCTGGCCTCACATCAACAGCAGCCCTGCCCCCGCCACACACCTGCCACCTTCCTCCCTTCCCACAAGCCAGAGCTTGTAGCTGAGGCCTGCTTGCTCTGTGTCCTCTGCCGGGGGCCGGGGGAGGGGGTGCGGCTGCCCTGTGTCCCGTGGGGAGCAACAGCCGCTGGTCCTGGCCTGCACTCAGCTCTGCCCTTCACAGGACTTCTTGACCTAACGTTCCTCATCATCTTCCTCCTTCCCACTAAGCCATGAGCCTTGTCAAAGAAAGGCTCTCCTCACATTGCTCCAGGCCTTCCTCGAGGCATTCACCCCACCGCCACAGGCACACTTTCGGGGAAGGGCAAACACCAGCTATTTGAGAACTTGCAGGCACCAAGTCACCGCTGCTGTCACAGCCACTCAGCAGCACCGGGAGCTGCCAGGGCGAGTGTCAATGAATGGATGTGGCCGGATCCTCACAAAACTTTATTTACAAAAGCAGGCGGCTGCGGGGGTCTGACCGTGGCGTGGCTGCAGGACCCATGAGGGTCCCCCGTCACCCCTTTCTGCCAGATCAGCCGTGTGCACGCAGATGCTCCTCTATAAATTTGAGCCCTGAGCTGCCTGCAGGGACTCGGGGGTCCCCTGCGGGGCTCCTGTTCATCCCACTACTTTGCATTTCTAAACTCACAGGCGCAGGGCTTTCTGGACACAAAGAGAGAGGGAGTGGCTGAGGAAAGCACATGATCCCAGAGTCTCTATTATGAGTCCAAGATACAGATACTCTGGAGAACGGCCTTAGACTGCTTTAAAGCCACAATCAGCTATAAAGGAGGCTTTTCCTCAGCATGAAATACCAAGATGCTACTTGTCCGAAGAAGGGATGCTTCTGAAGAAGATAAGTGCACAAAAAGGAAATCAACTCTCTCGGAAGCAAGACCGCCCGCTACCTTGGTGCTGATGCAGCCGGAGGGCAGAGGTGGGGAGCATCGTGACTGGAGGACACTGGACCAGGGGCCCAGTCCATCTTCTCTGCCTTCTTCACCTTCAAGATATGAACTGAACGTGCCAAATCTAGAGCGGTCTGAACTCAACTTCAAGTTTCTGAGATGATGCAATGGGGGGTGGGGGTGGGTGCCAATGCCTGGCACGCTCAGCTGTGCACACCTGGTTGTGCAGCTAGGTCTGAGGCGGGGGCTCCGTGCCCACTGGTCTTACGCTCGGAAACACAGGCCAGGTCCAGCTTTGCTGTGGCCTGTTAGCTAAAGCTACGTGGTGGGTGCCCCCTGCCTGTCTCCACGAAGGGGCACAAGCCAGGGACAGAAGGTGGCCAAGACACAGTAGCAGTAGAAGGTGTCAGCCACAGTAGCAATGACCAGAACAAAAGTCGCCTCTGGACAAAGCAGTAACTTCAAAGCAAGACAGAGAGCAAGGGTTACGGCCTTGCGAAAACTCCCGGTTCCCAGAAGGTAAGACGAAATGGATAGAGTGAAATCTAACAGGGCTCCTTGTTCTCCTCACACACTGACAGTGTCAGCCGGATACCCAAGCCTGCTCAGACTTTCTCTGCACAAATCCTTGAAAATGTGGGGCCTCCCTAGTGGCGCAAGGGGTTAAGATGCAACCTAGGAAGCTAGCAGCAGCCACTGTGGCCTGAGTTCCATCTCCAGCCAGGGAGCTGACCCACATGGCATAGCAGACCTCACCTGTTTTCCCGCTGCTCCCTCAGCAGTGTATTACAGTCAGCCTGCCTGTTCTGTTCCCCACTCTGTCTCTGGTGAGTCCTCTCACCCCCCCCAACTCTGGCCTGTACCCCAGCTCTTGTATGCATAAATAAATCTTTAAAAAAAAAGGGGGGGAAGAGAATGAGATAGAGCAAGTTAGTGATGGCATGTGGAATGTTTCTTGCTAGCTAAGTGGTCAGCGGGTACGACACCACCCCATTCTGGGTCCACAGAGGCAGAATCACTGTTTCTGTTTAGTGAGGTACTGGCAGGCAAAACCTCTCTCTGGCCTTTGGTATCTCCCTTGTCCCTTTATTGTAGTGACAAGGAAAGCCATAAAATAATATTTTTAAGAATTAGATGAGAGAGATGACTTTTGGGATCTTTACCTGGCCCTGTTGGTGGGTATGTTTTAGAGAATAAAGGTAAATAATGATCCGGTAGTGGGAGGCAGAGAGCTGAGGCACAGGCTCCTTGTGGGTACACTGACAGCTTTTCAGGCAGAGCGGCCTTGACGGGCCATTCCTACAAGCAAACAGCAGTGCTCTGGGGCCCCGGCTGCCATACTTTCCCAACAGAACTGTCAGGAAAATGAAGGAAACGTTCCCTGAGTAGATGACAGGCTTGTTTGCAAAATGTGGGCTGCCTGCCTGCAACAGCACCAGCCCTGGTGCTTGTTAAAAACTCCTATTCCTGCCTGCACCTGAGGCTACCTGAACAGGTAGGTGCCAGGTATCTGTAGTTAATGAATCCCCAGGGTGATGTGTGTGCAAAAGTGTCTGAGACTCACTCCTAGGATTAAGAATTCACCTCCTGGGGCTCCCTGGGGGTGCAGGGGTTAAAGACAGCCCTATCAAGCTATTGCCAGCCACTCCAGCACAAGTTCAATTCCAAGCCAGGGAAATACCCACATGGTGCAGCAGAACTCTCCTGTCTCCCTGTGCTCCCCTCAGCAGTGTGTTTCAGTGGATCCACCTGTTCTGCTCCCCACTGTCTCTGGGGAGTCCTCTCACCCACTGCGCTTCTGGCTTACACCCCAGTTTTCTATGCATAAATAAATAAATCTTAAAAAAATTCACCTCCTACCGATACAGTGAAATGCAGATCCCGGATTTTTACAGTCCAGTGCTCAAAGATCGTAGAAACTGTTGTTATGGCTTCGAGAACAAAAGATAGTACATGCAAGAAAAAATCTGGAAAATATAATAGAAAAAAATCATTCCATGATGCTGCTATGGGCAGGAGGCACAATGAATGGTGGAGACTAATTGGGGGGATTCCCTGCCAGTCTTGTGATGTTCCACATGGGGCATTGTGGTTCTGAAGACAGAGGGTGGGGTCGTTTGCTCTCAAGGTGCTCCTGTTCCCGCCACAACGCCTGGCAGAGGCCCACTCCTGTCTGCTGAATGGACAATGGAATGCAACTGGCCTCAAAATGTGTATGTGGTCTTGGTCCCATTGATATGTAACAGGGGGGTCCCCAGGAAAGGGGGAAGTTCCAGGTTTCCTGCCCCACCCAAAGGAGGATGGAGCTGAGCAGGGAGAAGCTGGAGAGGAGACAGAGGAAAAAAAGGAAGCAGGATGGAGCCAGAAGTGATACTGAAGGCCAGCCTCAGTTTCCCCCAGTCAATGAAAGGAAACAGAGTTTGAGTAAAAGGAAAGTGGTTTAATTTGTGGACAAAGGAGGAGGGTGGCAGACTCATGTCTGACAGACCACTGGGCAGAGGGCAGGGGTCTTTATGCAAAGGGGAGAAGAGGGGAAGATGGGTGTGGGTCTGCAGAGGGGAGGGGGATGGGGTTGGCATGGAGACGGGAGGGCGCCAGCTTGCTTTTCTCCAACAGCTGATGTTTAACTCCCTTTTCCTTGAAAGGCAGGAGGACTTGTTATCTAAAGACAAACCTGTCAAACAAGGGGGTAATTGCAAGAAATATGGAGGAAAGATAAACTTGTTAATGCTTATCTGGGAGACAAAGTTGTTAATGCTTATCTTTGAGACTTCATAAAGACGGCAAACTTGTCAAATAAGGGTGAAATTGCAAGAGATGGGGGAAGACAAACTTGTTAATTCTTAGAGACCAGCAATTTGTAACTGCATCAGAAGGAGCCCTGGAGGAGGCACACGGAGCAGGGAGACACGTGAAGAAACTGCGCTTGCCTTGTGGTCATGGACGGGGTGACACAGATGTGGGTGAGACCCGTGGGGAGGGGACCATGGCGGGTTTTGTGTTGATTTTGATTTTGCTCTTTTCCTCCCAGACTTGTCTGGTTGTTTCTGACCCTTTTCTGTGGGTCCCCGCTGGAAGGTGCTTCAGACAGTGGCAGCTTTGGGGCCTTGTTCTGGGCCAGTCCTGCTTGGGTGGACTTTTACCACAAGGGTCGGGGCAGTTTGGGAGCTTGACTTAGAAATTAGTATTGTTTCTTCATTGTATTAAAGTCCCTTCCCACTAAAGTCTCATACGCTTTACGGTGATGCTGCGGATGGCAGACCTGCTTAGAGCAGGCAGGTTTGCGGGGTCTGGGGTGCCCCCCTGCCCTGTCACAGACACCCTCTATTTAAACGTGCTGCCCTCTGTCTGCACAGCCATAGCAACAATGCCCTGCGTTGGGCAGAACGTCCTTTTCTGATTCTCCCCGCACGGATCAGACCCCATTTGCGCAGCCTCTCCGGGGTCCGGCCCCACACTGTGTCCACAAGGTGCGGTGCACAGACCGGGGCGCCCGGGGAGGCCGCGGGGGCCGGGCGGGGCCCCGCAGCAGTGTGGGGGCTGCCGGCGAGGGGTCGGCGACACCTGCCTGCTGCTGTCACCCTGAGGGGCTCACCTGACGTTAAGCCTCAGCGGCTCCAGGAAGCCCGGGGCCCGAGGGGAGCAAGCGGGGTCCCGGGGGAGGAGCGGGTCCGCGCGGGGAGGGGCGTGGCGAGACCTGGGGGCGGGGCCAGAGCCGAGCACGTGGTCGGCCGGGGCGGGGCGAGATCTGGGGCGGGGCCAATGGGCGGGGCGAGGCCAGTGGGCGGGGCGAGACCTGGGACGGGGGCGGGACCGGGGCCGCAGCACGCGGGCAGCCGGGCCGGGGGCGGGGCGATGCCGGGGGGGCGGGGCCGGCGGCCGTGAACGTTGGGCCCGCGAATGGGCGCCGGCCGGCGGGGGCGTGGCGGGGGCGTGGCGGGGCGTGGCGGGGCGTGGCGGGGGCGTGGCGAAACGGCCCGGGGAGCCGGCGGCGGGCTCGCGAGCGGGCGGCGGCGAGCATCGCGGAGCAGGACGCGGCCCGACGCAGCCGACGCCGACATGGTGAGGCCGCGCGGCGGGGCGCGGGCGCGGGCGCGGGCGCGGGCGGGTTCCACGCTCCGGCCGTCGTGTCGGGGCCGCCGGCCGCGCGGCCCGGGAGGGCGCCCGGGGAGGGGCGGGGGGCCCGGGGGCCGGGGGCCCGGGGAGGGCTCGGGGTCCGGGAGGGACCCGGCGGGCGTTTGGGCGGGAGCGGCCGTTCCCCCGGCGCCGCCGGTCCAGCCCCTGCTGCAAGCGCGGGCGCGGGACGCCCGGATCCCCCGCCGCGCACGCGCCCCCCCACCCCCCACGCCCCCGAACCCCGCCCGTCCCCGGCCGAGCGGCGCCCCCCTGCCGGGCTGGGGCGCCAACGGCTGCGCGGGTCCGCCCTGGCCCTGCCGCCCGCGGGGCGCCGGCCGGGAACCGTCAGGTCCTCGCGGCCAGGGAGCCCCCCCGCGCCCCCCCGCGCCCCCCGCGCCCCTCCCGCAATGCCGGCGCCCCGCTGCCCACGTGCCCACTGCCCGGTCCCTCTGCCCGGTCCCCCACCGCCAGGTCCCCACCGCCAGGTCCCTGCTGCCCAGGTTCCTCCACTGCCCAGTCCCCCACTGCCAGGTCCTCATTCTCCAGAGGGCTGTGGTGCCCTCTTGCCCTGGGCAGCGTGGCACCTGGCAGCGTGGCACCTGGCGCGCAGTGTCTCCAGGTCCTCCGGTGCCTGACCTTTGTCCCACATTTACCTGCACTGATGCGAGTGAGGGAACAGGTTCGAAGGTGTGGGCGTGGGCAGCAGCAGCCGGGCTCTGAAGCGTGGCAGCACCTCTTGGGCTCAGCCTTCCAGAAACTTGGGGTCCTCAGGGCAGCACTTTTAGAAAGACATGCACCCCAGCATCTCCCTTGAGGAAGCGCGCGGGGCGGGCGGCGTGGGAGGGCGGCGTCCACTGGCCAGCGCAAGCCGTGTCCAGCAGCGCAGTCTCGCCTGGCTCTCCCGGGGCCTGGCTGCAAGACTCGCTTCCCCTGAAAAGTGCCGGGGTGTCCTCCCACGTGCCAGCGTGTGGCAAGGGGTTTCAGGCCCCACGCACGGCTCCTGAGGAGGGCATCTTTCCCGTGGGCCCTGACCTGCAGGCAGGGCGGCCGGCGGAGAGGGAGAGGGAGCTGGCCTGGTGGGAGGAAAGGTCAGCCTGTTGCTGAGATGACAACCCAGCAAACATAGAAGGGAGAGACTGCTGGCGTGTAACCTGCAGGCGTGGGCGTGGGCATCCAGTCAGAACACCGCTGTGTGGCGTGTTCGGGGAGTGCAAGGTGCATTTCTAAAGTTCCCCTTCGGAGAAGCTTCCTTTCCTGCGCTGACAGCTGCGGCGTCACCGGGTCCGTCAGACAGGCAGCCGCAGCTCGGTTGGGGCGCTTTCACAGGACGTGGCTGTGGGGAGCTGAGATCGGGGTTGGGTGGGGTCCAACCCACCACCAGCATGTCCTGGGCCAGAGCGCCGGCCCCAAACTGCTCTCCGAATGAGACCCCGCTTTCCCCCCGAGGGGGTGCATGCCCTGGAGCGCCGGTGCAGGCTCAGCCCTCGCCAGCCTTCTCTGGGGGACCCTCACTCACAGGGTCACTCTGTGCCAGCTGTCCCCTCAAAGCCGGGGGGCACAGGGGCAACTGAATTTTCTAGTAGCATTGAAAACTAGCGACAGGTGAGGTTGACTCTAGTGGTCTGTTTTACTGAGCCCACCCAGCGCAAACCGCCCCGCCCGTCAGCCGTGTGGGCAGACACCGAGGAGATGTTTTCCTTGCTTTCCGTGTGAGACCTTGACCGTCTGGGGTTGGTTCTGACTTGGGGCTGATCACCCCAGGCGCTGGGCAGCCGCGCGCGGTGGGGCTGCAGGCCGGCAGAGCCGCTGCAGGGGTTACTGACTCCGATGCACCCCTTATCTGCTGGCCCTCTCCACGCGCGGGCAGCTCACTGCCACCCAACCCGGCAGGGGTGGCGGCTCAGCTTTCACCTCCTCGCGGTTCCCGTTCCCGCAGGTAATTCCACCAGCTCGCGAGTGTCCCGTGTCTGACATCCGAGTCTTGCTGTTCTTTCCTGTGTATCGTGTATTCTCAGATTTTCACTTGAAAATGCCTGTAGGTCGCCCTGCGTCTCTCTCCGCCATCTCTGCGTTCTCTGCAGGTCGCCTCTTTGATTTAAACTCGTTAACACATTTCTCCAAGACCCGAGGTGCCCTCACTTCCTGTTCCCGGAGACTGGCTCCCCATCCGTCTCACGGGCACCTGCTCTGCGACGCCTCTGCGCTCTGTGAGTGACAGTGGCTTCTGTGGTGCAGCTTCTTCCTGTGCTTTACCCCTTTCTCAGCGAGCCAGAGAAATAAACCAACAACGACCTGATATTCAAATGCCCACGCAAGAGACCAGCACAAATAAAGGATATCAAGAGACCCTGGGAGGAAATGAGATTGTTCTGTGAGCTCCGCTGCGCTCCAGGTGCTGGTAGCCAGGGAGCAGCGGCTCAGTGCTGCTCCTGGCACCTGCCCCACGCCTCACTGTGGGGGATCAGGGTGCAGAGGAAAGCCTTGGGCCGGCCCTCCGTCAGGTCGTGGTGAAGCTGCTGCCTCTCCTACAGGATGGGGGCTCACCTTGTCTGCAGGTGATTTTGTCAGGATTAGCTGGGGCTTCGCACAGGCCGTCCCCCAGGCTGCTGTGCGGCAGTGCCTTACACATCACCCCGAGTCCTGCCCCAACACCCCTGGAAGTGGGCCCCTGCCATGGGCACTCGCCTGAGCCCTACACGCACCGTGACTTATGTCTTCAGGTATTTAAAGTGATTTCTCATGGGCCTCCCTGGTGGCGCAAGGGGTTAAGCACTGCACTTTGAGGCGGTCTGCAGCCTCTGTGGTGCGAGTTTGAGCCCCAGCCGGCCAGGGAACTACCCACATGGCGCAGCAGACCTCTCCCGTCGCGCCCACTGCTCCCCTCAGCAGTACTTTCGGTCAGTCTGCCTGTTCTGCTCCCCACTCTGTCTCTGGTGAATCCTCTCACCCCCACATCTCTGGCCTGGACCCCAGCTCTTGTATGCTTGAATGGATGGATCTTTAAAAAAAAAAAAAAAGCGACTTCTCAGAACTCAGGTTCGGCATGGCTCAGTGACAGCCGCAGCACCTGTACCTGTGTCGCCGCGTAGTGATGACCTCGTGTGGATTACGCTTCACGATCATTTGTGGAAGGGGCCAGGTTGTGTCCTTATTTTTTAAATAAGGAGACCTATAATTTCGCCGTAAGTTCTTATTGAAGTTAAAATGTGTACACATTTCTATAATCAGATTTGCTGCAAATGGCAGAATTCCATTTGCGGGTGAGCAGAATTCCATTGTCTGTGTACACACCACATCTGTATCCAGCCCCTGTCAGTGGTTTCCTGGCTGTTATAAACGATGCCACATGAAATACTGTCCAGCCAGTTACTTTTTTGGGTTGAATAGATCCAGGAGTAGGGTTGCTGGGTCATAGGTAGTTCTAATTTTAGTTTAGTTTTTTTTTTTTTTTAAGATTTATTTATTTGTTTGTTTGTTTATACATACAAGCACTGGGTACAGTCAGAAGCGCGGGAGGGTGAGAGAATTCACCAGAGTGGGGAGCAGAGCAGGCAGAAGGACCGAAGTACACTGCTGAGGGGAGCAGCGGGTGGCAGGAGAGGTCTGTGCCCTCCTCTGGTGGCCGGGGAGCAGCCGGGGATTGAACCGGCGCTGCAGAGGCTGCGGGCAGCTTCGCAACCCAGCGCTCAACCGCTGAGCCACTGGGGAGGCCCTTTAGTTTTTTTTTTTTAGGATACATTTTATTTATTTATGCATACGAGAAGTGGGGTACAGGCCAGAGGTGTGGGGGGTGAGAGGACTCACCAGAGACAGAGTGGGGAGCAGAGCAGGCAGACTGACTGAAATACACTGCTGAGGGGAGCAGCGGGCGAGACAGGAGAGGTCTGCTGCGCCTTGCGGGTAGCTCCCTGGCCGGGCATCAAACTTGTGCTGCAGTGGCTGCGGACAGCTTCGTAGCTGAGACTTAGCCCCTGCACCCCCTAATTTTAGTTTTTTGAGGTAAGTCCAGATCACTTTCCAGAATAGCTGTACTAGTTCCCACTTCCTCGCATCCTCTCCATGAGAGCCATCCTCAGGTGTGAGGCGGCAGGGACATTGTGGCTTTGATGTGCATTTCCCCTGCTCTTTGTGTGACACCTTGGGCATTAACCTGCCAATTGTGTGATGGGCAAGCATCTCTTCGGGAGGCTGTCTTTGCAACCTAATATTTTCTTTCCATGCCTTTTTGATTCATGTAGTTGAGATAGTTCACTCTTGCATTTAATTCCTTTGCTGGAGGGTCAAGTCTGTATAGTGTCTTTCTCACTCATGGCAGGGAATTTAAGGTCTGGGCTTTCTTCCATGCATTTTGTTTTCAGGGTTCACGTCCACGTCTTTAACCCACTTTGGATTTCATTGTATGTTTTCGCAACACCATTTGTGGTGGAGATTTTCCTTCCTCCACAGTGCGGTCCAGGCCCTTCTGTCCCGAGCGAGGTGTTGGGGCACGTGCGGGCTCTCGACGTGCGTGCTGGTGATCCATGGGTCCCTTTTCACTCTATATTAATTATTACTGCTTTGTAATACACTGAAAAATGGGGTCCTGTGCTTTCATTTTTTTCTCAAAATTGCAGTAGCTATTGGGGGTCTTTTTGGTTCCATAAAATTTTATATTTTCTGTTCTATTTTCTGGAAAAACATCATGGGGAGTTTAAGGGGTTTGCTTTACGTCTGCAGAGGACTTTGGTCAAGTGGTCGTTTTGACAAGCTCTCCCCTCCGTGACACGGGCTGTCTGGCCACCTCCTCCGGGCATGTTCTGTGCTACACAGTGTCCTACAGTGTTCACTGCATAAGTCCTCACCTCCTGTAAGTTCATTCCTAGCTGTTTAATTCTCTCTGATGCGATGCAACTGAGTAGTTTTCTTATTTCTCCTCACTTGTTATTCGCATCTAAGAATGCACCAAA